CCGTTCCGCTTGGCCGCCCCTCGGCCGGGCTTTCAGAATTCTAAGTCCGCCGATGGTATGGCGCGCAAAAAGATGGCAAAACGGGGCCGCCCGTTCCGCTTGCCGAGCTTCCAGATTTCTGATTCCGCCGAAGGTATGGCGCGCAAAAAGATGGCAAAACGGGGCCGCCCGTTCCGCTTGCCGGGCTTCCAGATTTCTGATTCCGCCGAAGGTATGGCGCGCAAAAAGAAGGCAAAACGGGGCCGCCCGTTCCGCTTGGCCGCCCCTCGGCCGGGCTTTCAGAATTCTAAGTCCGCCGATGGTATGGCGCGCAAAAAGATGGCAAAACGGGGCCGCCCGTTCCGCTTGCCGAGCTTCCAGATTTCTGATTCCGCCGAAGGTATGGCGCGCAAAAAGAAGGCAAAACGGGGCCGCCCGTTCCGCTTGGCCGCCCCTCGGCCGGGCTTTCAGAATTCTAAGTCCGCCGATGGTATGGCGCGCAAAAAGATGGCAAAACGGGGCCGCCCGTTCCGCTTGCCGAGCTTCCAGATTTCTGATTCCGCCGAAGGTATGGCGCGCAAAAAGATGGCAAAACGGGGCCGCCCGTTCCGCTTGCCGGGCTTCCAGAATTCTGATTCCGCCGAAGGTATGGCGCGCAAAAAGAAGGCAAAACGGGGCCGCCCGTTCCGCTTGGCCGCCCCTCGGCCGGGCTTTCAGAATTCTAAGTCCGCCGACGGTATGGCGCGCAAAAAGATGGCAAAACGGGGCCGCCCGCTCCGCTTGCCGAGCTTCCGTATTCCATCCTGATTCCGCCGCCGGTATGGCGCGCAAAAAGATGGCAAAACGGGGCCGCCCGTTCCGCTTGCCGGGTCTCCAGAATTCTGATTCCGCCGAAGGTATGGCGCGCAAAAAGAAGGCAAAACGGGGCCGCCCGTTCCGCGTGGCCGCCCCTCGGCCGGGCTTTCAGAATTCCAAGTCCGCCGAGGGTATGGCGCGCAAAAGATGGCAAAACGGGGCCGCCCGTTCCGTCTGCTGAGATTCCTGATTCCGCCGAAGGCATGGCGCGCAAGAAGATGGCAAAACGGGGCCGCCCGTTCCGCTTGCCGGGCTTCCAGAAGTCTGATTCCGCCGAAGGTATGGCGCCCGCGCAAAAAGAACGCAAAACAGGGCCGCCCGTTCCGCTTGGCCGCCCCTCGGCCGGGCCCGCCGGGGCCAGTGTGCCGCCCATTCCCGCAGCAGTTGGAAGGAAGCGCGTTTGGAGCCTGCCCGGAAAGGGATTTCTGGACACCTCCGGGGCCAGTGTGCCGCCCATTCCCGCAGCAGACAGTTGGAGGCGCCTTTTGAGCCTGCTCGGGGAAGGGTTGTTGGGCACCTTCGGCCTTAGCGTGCCGCCCATCCATTCGCGCAGCAGTTGAGAGCGCCTTTTGTGCCCGGCTGGGCAGGAATTTTTTGGCAGGTTCAAGGCCAGCGTGCCGCGCATTCCCGCAGCAGTTGGAAGCTTCTTTTCTGCCTGGTCGGGAAGGGCTTTTTGAACACCTTCGGAGGCAGCGTGCCGCCCATTCCCGCAGCAGTTGGAAGCTTCTTTTGAGCCAGCTCGGAGAGGGATTTTTGGACACCCCCGGGGCCAGCGTGCCGCCCATTCCCGCAGCAGTTGGAAGCCTCTTCTGAGCCTGGTCGGGAAGGACTTTTTGAACACTTTCGGAGGCAGCGCGCCGCCCATTCCCGCAGCAGTTGGAAGCATCTTTTGAGCCTACTTGGGGAGGGATTTTTGGACACCCCCGGGGCGTGCGTGCCGCCCATTCCCGCAGCAGTTCGAAGCCTCTTTTGAGCCTGGTCGGGAGGGGCTTTTTGAACACTGTTGGCGGCAGCGTGCCGCCCATTCCCGCAGCAGTTGGAAGCCTCTTTTGAGCCTACTCGGGGAGGGATTTTTGGACACCCCCGTGGCCAGCGTGCCGCCCCTTCCCGCAGCGGTTGGAAGCTCCTTTTGAGCCTACTCGGGGAGGGATTTTTGGGCACCCCCGGGGCCAGTGTGCCGCCCATGCGCGCAGCGGTTAGAAGCTGCTTTTGAGCCTGGCCGGGGAGGGCTTTTTAGACACCTTTGAGGGCAGCGTGCCGCCCATTCCCGCAGCAGTTGGAAGCTTCTTTTGAGCCTACTCGGGGAGGGATTTTTGGACACCCCCGTGGCCAGCGTGCCGCCCATTCCCGCAGCACTTGGAAGCTTCTTTTGAGCCGGCTCGGGGAGGGATTTTTGAACACCTTCGGAGGCAGCGTGCCGCCCATTCCCGCAGCAGTTGGACGTGTCTTCTTGCGCCTACTCGGAGAGGGATTTTTGAACACCTATGGAGGCAGCGTGCCGCCCATTCCCGCAGCAGTTGGAAGTGTCTTTTTGAGCCGGCTCGGGGAGGGATTTTTGAACACCTTCGGAGGCAGCGTGCCGCCCATTCCCGCAGCAGTTGGACGTGTCTTTTTGCGCCTACTCGGAGAGGGATTTTTGAACACCTATGGAGGCAGCGTGCCGCCCATTCCCGCAGCAGTTGGAAGTGTCTTTTTGAGCCGGCTCGGGGAGGGATTTTTGAACACCTTCGGAGGCAGCGTGCCGCCCATTCCCGCAGCAGTTGGACGTGTCTTTTTGCGCCTACTCGGAGAGGGATTTTTGAACACCTATGGAGGCAGCGTGCCGCCCATTCCCGCAGCAGTTGGAAGTGTCTTTTTGAGCCGGCTCGGGGAGGGATTTTTGAACACCTTCGGAGGCAGCGTGCCGCCCATTCCCGCAGCAGTTGGACGTGTCTTTTTGCGCCTACTCGGGGAGGGATTTTTGAACACCTTCGGAGGCAGCGTGCCGCCCATTCCCGCAGCAGTTGGAAGTGTCTTTTTGAGCCTACTCGGGGAGGGATTTTTGAACACCTTCGGAGGCAGCGTGCCGCCCATTCCCGCAGCAGTTGGACGTGTCTTTTTGTGCCTACTCGGGGAGGGATTTTTGAACACCTTCGGAGGCAGCGTGCCGCCCATTCCCGCAGCAGTTGGAAGTGTCTTTTTGAGCCTACTCGGGGAGGGATTTTTGGACACCCCCGCGGCCAGCGTGCCGCCCCTTCCCGCGGCAGTTGGAAGCTCCTTTTGAGCCTACTCGGGGAGGGATTTTTGGACACCCCCGTGGCCAGTGTGCCGCCCATTTGCGCAGCAGTTAGAAGCTGGTTTTGGGCCTGGCCGGGGAGGGCTTTTTAGACACCTTTGAGGGCAGCGCGCCGCCCATTTGCGCAGCAGTTGGAAGCTGCTTTTGAGCCTGGCCGGGGAGGGCTTTTTGGACACCTTTGAGGGCAGCGTGCCGCCCATTCGCGCAGCAGTTGGAAGCTGCTTTTGAGCCTGGCCGGGAAGGGCTTTTTGGACACCTTTGAGGGCAGCGTGCCGCCCATTCGCGCAGCAGTTGGAAGCTGCTTTTGAGCCTGGCCGGGGAGGGCTTTTTGGACACCTTTGAGGGCAGCGTGCCGCCCATTCGCGCAGCAGTTGGAAGCTGCTTTTGAGCCTGGCCGGGGAGGGCTTTTTGGACACCTTTGAGGGCAGCGTGCCGCCCATTCGCGCAGCAGTTGGAAGCTGCTTTTGAGCCTGGCCGGGGAGGGCTTTTTGGACACCTTTGAGGGCAGCGTGCCGCCCATTCGCGCAGCAGTTGGAAGCTGCTTTTGAGCCTGGCCGGGGAGGGCTTTTTGGACACCTTTGAGGGCAGCGTGCCGCCCATTCGCGCAGCAGTTGGAAGCTGCTTTTGAGCCTGGCCGGGGAGGGCTTTTTGGACACCTTTGAGGGCAGCGTGCCGCCCATTCGCGCAGCAGTTGGAAGCTGCTTTTGAGCCTGGCCGGGGAGGGCTTTTTGGACACCTTTGAGGGCAGCGTGCCGCCCATTCGCGCAGCAGTTGGAAGCTGCTTTTGAGCCTGGCCGGGGAGTGCTTTTTGGACACCTTTGAGGGCAGCGCGCCGCCCATTCGCGCAGCAGTTGGAAGCTGCTTTTGAGCCTGGCCAGGGAGGGCTTTTTGGACACCTTTGAGGGCAGGGTGCCGCCCATTCGAGCAGCAGTTGGAAGCTGCTTTTGAGCCTGATCGGGGAGGGTTTTTTGGACACCTTTGAGGGCAGCGTGCCGCCCAACCGCGCAGCAGTTGGAAGCTGCTTTTGAGCCTGGCCGGGAAGGGGTTTTTGGACACCTTTCGGGGAAGCGTGCCGCCGATTCGAGCAGCAGTTGGAAGCGATTTTTGTGCCCGTCAGGAAAGGGGTGTCATTGGGATGGTGGCAAATACCAAATTCGGGTGCCGGGCGTGAGCCCCGGCTGGTGGAGAGGAACTGCGGAATCTGTGTTCCGCTTACCAGCCGACGCTTTCGATGGTAGATCGAGGCCGGAACTTTGCGCGCAACCAGAGTGCTGTTGGTACGAGAAAGTTCTAGTTGCTCCTGCAACACACGAAGGGCCTCGCGATCTCTGACTTGATCTGAACTTTCCTGCAGGTGTCGCTTTCCTTTGTGCATCCGTAGGAGTGTGCTGGAAGCTCAATTAAATCACGCTGAGTTGAGATTGGCTTTGGTGATGGCCTTGTTGTCTTCAAAGAGCGACTTCAAATACAGGATCTTCAACATATACACACGACAGCATTTTTTTTGAGACCACGAATATGAGACCAGAGCCTTTGGAATTCTTTCTAATTCACCATGATTATACCACACTAAGTAGGCACAGGGACATACCGACACATGTGCATTCCAAGGATCATCCTTTTATTCCGTGATTGAATTGTGGTATCTATGAGCTTGAAGACGTAGCGCTACGTTCTGCATGTAGAGCGCAACATTGTTCTTTGGATTTCTCTGTGAAGTAGATGCACCTTAAATAATACTTTTCCTTTTTTGAGGTCCAAAACTGAATCGTAAAAATCGCATAGTAAGTACTAAGCGTATGATGTGCGTGCCCAACATTCATGGTTATCGGAGAGAACCAACGTCGTCCTTGAAATTTCTCAAGCTAATGGGCCACACCCAAACCTGTCCCGGGCATCTTACTTTAGCAGGACCGCCACAGGCACGATGCAGACAGGAAAGAAAGCCGACGACGACGCGGTCGTTGTAATCCTGAGCGACAGCTCAGATTCGCCCGGGCGTGCAACGTCGTCCAAGCAACCAACAAATCCTCGAACTACCGGGCAGCCGGGAGTGGCCAGCGGGACAGGACACAGACATCAGCCGCGTCATGCCGTGCCGTCGCGGTTCGCAGCTATTGATATGCCGGGCGCACCGGAGATGGGAGCAGGAACGAATGCTGCTGAACAAGAACCTCTCTTACAACAAGCCAAGGTAAAAAGCGAGCAATTATCGGGAGGTCCGTCCTCTACAACCACTGACTCGCACCGTCGAGAAAGAACTGCGACAAATACCCTCGTGGTGGAGAACCAAGAAATAAATGCAACATTACAAGAACCACCCGAAGTACAACATCAGCAACAGCCGCAGACCGAGGAAGCACCAGAGCTGGTGAGAATCAAGCACGACCCGTTTGCGGAGGTGGTCGGTGGAGAGGAGGGCGAGGAGGACTTCCTCCTCGGGGATTTCATTTTCGACCTTGACGACGGCGAGGACCTGTTTTTGCAGTCCGGCGAAGATGAGGAACAGCCAGGAGACACCGCGGCAGATAAAAACGGTCTTGTCGGTGAAGAGCAAGAACTGGCTCATCATGGCGTGAACCACAGCGAAGATCAGGAGGAGATGGAAAGAAACCGTGGTACAACTCATCCGATCGTCAGAATCAAGCAGGAACTACAGCAGCCGCGGGTGAAACAAGAGCTTCCGGCCAGCGAGGAAGAGGAACAGCAGGCACCACAAGCGCAGCACACAACCAGTCGCACGGCGATTGGAGGATCAGCAGCGGCGAGTACCTACTCGCATGTGCGTGTGAAGGAGGAGCCACGAGAGGGAGATGACGACCAAAATCATGTCGCGGTCTCGAGTACAATATTATCCTGTGCAAAAGTAAAATCGTACATGCCAGTCACGCATGACAGATCTGCTTGTTTGCTTTTGAATCCACTTTGCTTGAGAATCCGCATGACAAGTTTCGTACTTATCTTTTTCGAAAAAATCTGCTTTCATTTTGCGGCCTGGCGCAAGATTGCGTCACGGCTTCGCACCTTCACAGGACGGGATTCCGGGCCCCCCGGGGCACCGGCTGGCGCCGGGGGGCCCAGAATCCGCTCCTGCAAGAGGTTCGTCTTTGTGCCATTTTTGGGTCCCGGCGCAAGATTGCGTCACAATTTCGCACCCTCACAGGACGGTATTCTGGGCCCCCCGGGACACCGGCTGGCGCCGGGGGGCCCAGAATCCGCTCCTGCAAGGGGTTTGTCTTTGTGCCATTTTTGGGTCCCGGCGCAAGATTGCGTCACAATTTCGCACCTTCACAGGACGGTATTCTGGGCCCCCCGGGACACGGGCTGTCGCCGGGGGGCCCAGAATACCGTCCTGTAAGAGGTTCGTCTTTGTGCCATTTTTTGGCCCCGGCGCAAGATTGCGTCACGGTTTTTGACCTTCACAGGACGGTATTCTGGGCCCCCCGGGACACGGGCTGTCGCCGGGGGGCCCAGAATACCGTCCTGTAAGAGGTTCGTCTTTGTGCCATTTTTTGGCCCCGGCGCAAGATTGCGTCACGGTTTTTGACCTTCACAGGACGGTATTCTGGGCCCCCCGGGACACGGGCTGTCGCCGGGGGGCCCAGAATACCGTCCTGTAAGAGGTTCGTCTTTGTGCCATTTTTTGGCCCCGGCGCAAGATTGCGTCACGGTTTTTGACCTTCACAGGACGGTATTCTGGGCCCCCCGGGACACGGGCTGTCGCCGGGGGGCCCAGAATACCGTCCTGTAAGAGGTTCGTCTTTGTGCCATTTTTTGGCCCCGGCGCAAGATTGCGTCACGGTTTTTGACCTTCACAGGACGGTATTCTGGGCCCCCCGGGACACGGGCTGTCGCCGGGGGGCCCAGAATACCGTCCTGTAAGAGGTTCGTCTTTGTGCCATTTTTTGGCCCCGGCGCAAGATTGCGTCACGGTTTTTGACCTTCACAGGACGGTATTCTGGGCCCCCCGGGACACGGGCTGTCGCCGGGGGGCCCAGAATACCGTCCTGTAAGAGGTTCGTCTTTGTGCCATTTTTTGGCCCCGGCGCAAGATTGCGTCACGGTTTTTGACCTTCACAGGACGGTATTCTGGGCCCCCCGGGACACGGGCTGTCGCCGGGGGGCCCAGAATACCGTCCTGTAAGAGGTTCGTCTTTGTGCCATTTTTTGGCCCCGGCGCAAGATTGCGTCACGGTTTTTGACCTTCACAGGACGGTATTCTGGGCCCCCCGGGACACGGGCTGTCGCCGGGGGGCCCAGAATACCGTCCTGTAAGAGGTTCGTCTTTGTGCCATTTTTTGGCCCCGGCGCAAGATTGCGTCACGGTTTTTGACCTTCACAGGACGGTATTCTGGGCCCCCCGGGACACGGGCTGTCGCCGGGGGGCCCAGAATACCGTCCTGTAAGAGGTTCGTCTTTGTGCCATTTTTTGGCCCCGGCGCAAGATTGCGTCACGGTTTTTGACCTTCACAGGACGGTATTCTGGGCCCCCCGGGACACGGGCTGTCGCCGGGGGGCCCAGAATACCGTCCTGTAAGAGGTTCGTCTTTGTGCCATTTTTTGGCCCCGGCGCAAGATTGCGTCACGGTTTTTAACCTTCACAGGACGGTATTCTGGGCCCCCCGGGACACGGGCTGTCGCCGGGGGGCCCAGAATACCGTCCTCTAAGAGATTTGTCTTTGTGCCATTTTTTGGCCCCGGCGCAAGATTGCGTCACGGTTTTTGACCTTCACAGGACGGTATTCTGGGCCCCCCGGGACGCCGGCTGGCGCCGGGGGGGCCAGAGTCCGCTCCTGCAAGAGGTTCGTCTTTGTGCCATTTCTGGGTCCCGGCGCAAGATTGCGTCACAATTTCGCACCTTCCCAGGGCGGTATTCTGGGCCCCCCGGGACACCGGCTGGCGCCGGGGGGGGACCAGAATCCGCTCCTGCAAGAGGTTCGTCTTTGTGCCATTGTATTTGTATTAACATGCAATTCCAATTTGAATTTCTACTCGTACGATGCCTCTTTGAATGCATATCCAACGTCTGGCGCGCGCACCATCGCACTGGCGGACTGTCTGCTCCGGGGCTTGGCGGCTGCCGTGGAGCAGAATCCTATCGAAGACGGGTTTGGGGAGGAACTGTTCGGGCTTCTCTCCGGCAACGAAACCATCCCGCAGGCAGATAAGGAGCGGCTGCTGGAGATCGCACTGAACCTGCACACGCGGCATAACGAGCGACTGGAACAACTGCAGTCCGTCGTGGCGGAAGGAGGAGGAGCTCCTGCTTCTGGAGTGGGCGTACAACGTGCCGGCGGGGATGAAGCAAATCTGCATGCTAGTAGTGCTGGACCAGAAGCAGCTGCAAGCTTACGGGGGCCCTCGTCTTCCTCCTCTCATTCCTTCGGAGACTTGAACCTGACGGCACCGGAGGTCGGGTCAAGGTCAACAGCAGGAACAGCTGCCCAGCACATAAACGACCGTAAAAATGTTCTCCCAGCAGCAGCACCAGCCATTAGCGGTACAACCTCGTCACGGCAACTACTACCGAAGCAGCCCGTCGGCGGAGCCGCGGCGTTTCTGGAAACGTGGCGCGACAATTTTCCAGCGAAAGATGGACAGGCGTCCGTGCAACTGGGAATCGGGTCCTCGATTGGAAGCACTGCTGGGCCGCGTGCTGACGATCTGCAACAACGCTCAACATCGGGCCGGAAAAATGCGCGCACGGGTATTAACCGAGGCGGCGCGGAAGCAGAAGCTTCTTCATCAGCCGCTGGCGGGATGATGTTTCCCGTTGTCGGGACCTCTCGGGCAACGTCTTCGTCGAACGTTCTGTTTCCGGAAGAAGTGGTGGATGAACCACAAATATTGCAAGTGGGTGGACTGACTGGTGGGGTCTCCGGCGCTTCCAATCGCAATTATCCCTCTGCATCGGTACAACCAGCAGGTCAGCCACCGCAGCTGCAAATAAATGGACCTGCGATGCAACAGCAGCAGCAGCAGCAGCAGAACCCCTCCTCAATCTCGTCCTCCACTGTGTTGCAGTTGAAGCAGCGGATGCGGGAAACGCTGCGCCGCGACTTTATGGACGCGACAGGACCGAAATCGACAAAGCCGAAATACTGAAAGATTGTAACTAATGCATAAAATGCAATACACAGCGCGCCTGTAGTCTTGCAGAGCAGGGAACTGAGGCCGATTGGAAGCCTGTTTTGGGTAAGAAATAGAGGTGCTCGAGTAGCATGACAAATGGCATCTTGTTTGCTCAAACAGCATGACAAACTGGATTTGGGTAATGCCAACATTTGTCATGCATCGCTTACACAGTCTGTTTATGTCATGCACCGCTTACAAATTGAGCCTGGCCTCTCGTTGGTGTTGTTGATTCTATGTGTGACACTTACCTTACAAAGCATTTCAACTTTCCCAATTTCGGTTCTGACACTCTCATACACTTTCAGCTTTCCTCCTTCCGCGGACAGCAGGAGGAGGCAATTCTCGCCGCCCTACAAAACCACCACGTGCTGGCAGTGATGCCGACGGGTGCGGGCAAATCCCTCTGCTACCAGCTGCCAGCCGTGCTTGCGAGGAACCGCATTTCCATCGTCGTGTCCCCCCTGAAGTCGCTGATGAAAGACCAGGTCGACGCGTTGCGAAAGAAGAACATCCCTGCGGTAGCACTTCACGGCGACCTGTCGTGGAGCGAAGAGCGACAATTTCTACAGACGCTAGAACGGTTCGCGACATCTGGTACATAGGATTTTTTAGATGATTTCAACATGACAGCTCACATTCATCAATGCAACCTCTACAAAATGGAAATCTTTCGCGGAACAACATGCGAGACTCTATAGGAAAATCACAATTTTGGTCGTTCTGTGAGCGATGCGGGGGTACTTACTACTTAAGTAGCTTTAGAAAAGACAGAAAATCTTCTCCCACCACCGAAATTGAAAATTAGCCCCCTCCGCCTCCACTGCCGCGGCCAACGCTCCGTGCCTTCTGTACGTGTCGCCCGAGAAACTTGTAAACGCCCTGGAGCGGACGCAGAACTCGAGTTTCATCTCCCTGGCCGAGATGCTCACCCTTTTGTTTCAGAACAACAAACTCGGTAGCTTTGTCATCGACGAGGCGCACTGCGTGTCCGAGTGGGGCCTGGACTTCCGCCCGGAGTTCCGCAAGCTGCAGATGGTTCGAAGCCGCTTTCCCGGGGTCCCGATCTTCGCCTGTACCGCGTCGGCCACAGAGGCCTGTCGCCGCGACATGAGAACCGTCCTGTTCGGTCCCAACAGCACTGGCGCGCGGGTGTTCGTGGACAGCTTTAACCGGCCGAACCTGTCGTTCGTGGTGAAGCAGAAGGAAACCAATCTATGCATTGGAAAAGAATGAGCATTGTGGTAGTAGTATAAATTGCATGACAAATAATTTTGCCGAATAAGAAAAGTGAGATTTGTAATACTGATTTCCCTAAAATAGAGCATTTGTCATGCATGATCACTGCAATTACTACGAGTGCGATCCTTATCCTTTTGCAATGCATACAACCTGACGAAAAACAATGCGGACCAGTTTTTCCAGGGCATCGTGGACACCATCCGGGTATCAAATGTAAATATGTCTGCGTCTGGAAGGATCATGCACCTGACTTGTAATGCTGCATTGGGATTCCAAAACAAATCTGTAATGCATGAGCAGCTAGAGAAGCGGAAGTGTAGTTTGCTCTACGCGGAGAGGGCATTTCTCACACGGCAAAGGCATCAAACGGCCCTCAAAAGATCTGTGATGCTCGGTCATGCATTGCAGGCCTCATGGGTCATGCAAAATATGCATGTCTACCCCTCTCGTGGCCGTTCTGGTGCGCCTTCTCATGTGAGGTCGTTGACGAGGCTTGGTGGGAAATTCCCGTTGCGCGAGGCTCTTGCCTTGCTCTCTGTCTTCGCCCCCAGCGGTGATGAGATAGTAGAAGCGTCTGTTGTGGCCGTCGGAGCTTGCTCCGGGTCTTGTGGCTCCTCTCGTCCTCGGTGGAGTACCTGAGTGGCTTTTGCTGCTGCCTCCGTTGACTTTTGGCTGCTGCTTGACTGGCGGTTGGGAACATATCAGGCGTCTTTGTGCTGTTGCTTCTGCCGCGTGGTCCCCAGTGTTCCCCGGGTCCGGAACTCTGGGTTACCTTGGTCGAGTTGGTGTCACTGTCGGTTCACCTATGTCCCTGCCTTTCTGTTCTTGCCACTGGGAACAGTCTGTGCGTTTCTTTCGTCAGCGGCTTCTCGGCGCTGAAGCTCGTTGACGATTGTTTCGGGAGGTTCCTAACGGCCCCTGAGGACATTGCCTCGTTGCCGACCAGGCCGAACTTAGAGGTCGGCTTCGGGAAGGCTACCCGGAGTTGAGTCTGTTTCGGCAGGTCTCTTGTGAATGCGAGGGCAGTGGTTGGCTGAGGTTGTTGGAGCGTTCCATAGTGTCGCTCCAGATCATTTCTGATCCTTCTCCAACTTCCTCATTTCCTGTGTGGTCTAATGCAGATTGCAGATCACAACACAGGGCCACCCTCGCATCTCACCTCCAGGGGGGGCGCGCGGACCTCGCTTGCCATTTCGTTTGGTCTCGCGAAAGTTCCAGCTCCCCCGAGCGGTAGTAGGGGATTTCCAAGTGTGCAAAATATGCATGACAAACCTGGCAATCGTCCAGACTCAGACATATTCGCACGGCATACCGGGATTCGCTCCAGCAGGACTACATGCGAAACCTCTCGTCTTCGTCGGCGGTGGCCGGCTCGTATCACAGCGTATTGGAAAAGACTTCAGGGGAGGTGGGGGCGAGAAGCGTTATGTTTGGTCTGTCAGGTAGTGGACTGGACGAGGGTGCGTTTTAATACTTTCGTGCGAGTTCTAGTACATCTCGATCTTTATCCATTTCTACTCCCAGAAAATGAAAAATCGAAGAGAAAGGAAGCACGACGGCCTTGTCGTCCAAGAGGATCCATTCGGAAGTAAAGAACTTCTACGCTTCCTCTCCCATTGTACTTTTTCCCCTGCACACCTAAACGCCGTCGACGGGAACCAGAAAAAGCTGAGCTACCACGCGCACCACGCCGCTGCCCAGGCGGCGAACACCGGCTGCTGCGTCATCTACGCGCTGTCCAAGGTTGAGTGTGAGACCGTGGCCAAAGGCTTGCAGAAGTGCGGGCTGAAGGCGAGACCGTACCACGCCGGACTGCCCATCCAAACGCGACGGACGAACCAGGAGCAATGGATGAGCGGCAAAATTCAGGTGATCGTCGCCACCATCGTATCTTCCTGAGCAAACGCGTCCCCATAGTGTCAAGTTGTTGGGAACTTGGCAACGCAATAAAAACAGCAGCTTCGTTGGGAGTCACGCATGACAAGTTCTTATTTCCAGCTGTGTTGTAAGTGCAGTTTAGCACGGACAGCCGCAACATGAGAAAGCCACTTCTACTCTGTACACATCCTGTTTGCAGCATATACAAATGTTGCCAAAACACTTTCGGAAATGCCTCTACTTATCGCGATGCGCATTACAAATGTCGCTGTAATTGCAAATCTGCATGAAGACAACTCTGGGATCGTGGGGGCGTAGTTTTTGCTGAGGATACATCGCCTTCGGCATGGGCATCAACAAAGCGGACGTGCGGTTCATCGGCCATCTGGTGATGCCGAGCTCTCTGGAGCGCTACTACCAGGAGTGCGGGCGCGCGGGGCGGGACGGACGGCACGCCACTATGAGATGTAAAGATGTCTGGGTCTGGAAGAATGGAAGGTCTGTCATGCTCTGCCAGCATGACCCCAGAGTCTCAAGAGCCCCGCACCGCTTTTTTGTCATGCAGAAACGCATTTTGTCATGCAGAATAGGCAACACCCCGAAGCTCAGAAACTTGTCATGCTGAGCCAGCACTTGTGGCCCGGCCCCCTCATGATACGCCAACCAGCATCACAAGTTTCCAGACCCAGACACTTTTACAGTTGATAGCCACCTGCGTGTGCTGGTACTCGGACCGGGACTACGAGCGGTGCAAACGACTGGTCACCAGCGGCGGCGGGCCGGCCGGGGCCTCGAGCAGCAAGTTCCTCACGCAGCTTTTGGCCATGCGGTCGTTTCTGACGCAGAAGATCCAGTGCCGGCGGAAAGCGCTGCTGGAATACTTCGGCGAGCGAAACTTCGACGCGAAAAATTGTGGGAAAAAATGCGACATTTGCGCGACCGTGGACCGCGAGAACGCGCACTTGCTAAACATCACCACGGAGCAGCGGCAAGGAACAGCAGCTGGTGCAGGGAATGCGACTAGTACAGCCGGGACTTCTTCTGGAGGCAACATTTTTGGTGCCTCCAGCCTGCTACAGCACCAACACGGTATCAACATGTCCTCTTCCATCGTGCAACGAGACTTCACTTCGGAAGCGAAGGTTTTGGTCAACTACCTGCGTGACTGCCTGTCCTGCGAACTCACCGTTGCGAAGTTGCGGGACGCGAGTCTTGGTGTCTCCCTGCCGAAACCTGCGAAGAAGAAGGGGCGACGCGGAGGTAAGAGCCAGTGGCTGCAGGCGGCGGAAGACAAGCGGGAGAAAGTGATGAACCACAAAAGCTTCGGGTTTCTGAAGAACACGAGTATTTCACAACCCAACCAGCCAGATCAGCAGCTGAGCAAGCATGGCGCAGAGCAGGTGGTCCGGAAATTAGTGGAGTTGCAGGTCTTTTCAGAAATCGTGAAAACCTCCGGAGGTGGTGGGCGCAAGAAGCGCGGGCGGCGGGGAAAGAGCGCCTTCTCGTGGTCGATTCTGCAAGTCGGGCCGCGCGCCACCGATCTGCAGTGGAACAGGTTACGGGTCAGCGTGGATTTGGACGGCAGTACGGCCTTCGCAGGAACAACTACGGGAGGTGGTGCGCCGAAGTCTTCGTCTGGTGTCGGGGCCAGCAGTAGCAGCAGCGCATTCAGCCGGAACAACCAGCAAACGGGCTTAGATTCGGATGACATCGAAGAATTCGGCTCCTCAGACGACGATGAGACAAGCGACTCGGCGGTGGTTGCCGCCGCGGATGCGGCAGTACTGGCACAGAAAAGTGCGGTGCAGCAGGGAACAGCAGCTACGACGTCTTCCGGATCTACTTCCACAGGACTACTTGGTGCGGCTAGACAACAAACATCTGCATTCACAACCGCCTTCAGCCTCGACTTGTCCTCCCTGGATCAAAATTCGAGTAAGCGCACAAAGACACCCGCGGAATTGGAGTTTGAGCGGTTGCAGCGACTAGAGTTGGAGAAGTACAAGCGACCACCCAAGCAGAAGCCCGCTGTTGTTTCGGCTGGATCCTCCAGCAGTTCATCAGCGAACTTCTACAACCGTGTCGGCGCCGGACAAGTCTCCTCCCGCCCTGCAAACCCGTCGTCTTCCTCGGCGTCCAGCAGATTCAATCCATTATTTGCAGCTGCTGCGTCTTCGACCAGTCCGTTTGATAATCCACTGCTGCAGCTCGGAGGAGCGCGCCGAGGAGGAGCAGGAAGTGGCACAAGTATTTTAGGAAGCCGCAGCGGCCCTGCGGTACAGAACCAGGAGGAGGATGAGATCATCTCCGAAGCTACGGATGAGGATGAGAAGCTGTTTGGGGCTGGGCGAAGCAGTAGAGCCACAATGAATCAAACGAATGCGACATCATCTTCGGCTGGGCGAGTAGTTGACAACCGGCCCTTGCTGATCGCAGAGGATAAGCACGACAGTGAGGAGGAAGGAGGTTGTGGCTCGTCGTCGTCACACGGAGGAAGTCTGCTAGCAAGATTGATGGCAAAACGAAGAAAAATGAACCCGGATAATGAATGAAGGTAACCACCAGTAGTGGTAGTCGTCCTGTGACTACAGAGTAAAAGATTTTCTGCACAACTATAAGATTTCCCTGATCACCGCGTGTTTGAGGATGGATGTTACATCCAACGGTTACTTATCGTTTAATGTCGTGCTCCATGCTCCTGTTCGTCTTGTTGAGCACTGCTTGTGTGCACATGCAGCACAGCCGCCTGTTTATCAACACATTCGCCGCTCGTGTGTTGTCAGTGACAAGACGGATCTTGATAAATGGAAATGTATTTTTGTGTATCAATGAGTGCATCTGCGTGTCTGTGGTTGTTGAGAGCAGCTTAGTGCAATCTGTTGCAGTGTGCAGCGAAAGAGAACGAACAAATCTCTATGAGTGACGGACGAGCGCAGCTTGGACTTGGAGTTGAGTGTGTCAAACGCAGTTAGTCATGCTCTTTCAGCAGTACGCGAGGGTGAAGCTCTACTTTGCTATTTTGCGACTTCTTGACGCAATCGCAATTTCATGATACTCTCTACATGTCGATTGCTGTTTCTCTTTTGTTTCATTCCCACCAACAGTTTCCCCTTTCCCGTAGCTTTTTCTGTCAATTGCAGGAACACAAGATGTATCGATGCCCGCCCCCCAATGGGGCGCTCGGTCCCTGATGCGCGGCGCGGGCATGTTGGCGCCTTCTCCCTCCGCCTTACCACAAGGCGCAGCCAGCAACATCAGTTTCTCCCGCAGGCACACCAGCCGCAATACTGGAATGCCGGCAACGGGCCTCCGGCTGTGCCAGTCGATGGCTCAAAGCAAGGAGGGAATTGCTCCAGCGTGGCGCCAATAGGAAGCTCGTCCAGTTCGTGGCGGAACGCGTGGGCGCTTTTGCCGTCGACGCGCCCCGCGACGAAAAGCGCGTAGGGTGGGCCCTTGTGTGTGCGGGCCAAAGGCGGCAGCTCAGGCGGGCCCGCTTTTGATTTCCGTGGCCCCGCGGTTGCGCGAGCTGGGTGTAGTAAGCGACTGGCGGCGCGCCTGCCGCGTTGGTTATCCGCAGGGCAGGAAAGTCGGGTAGGTGAGCCGGTCCTCTGGATACATTCATTGCCCCGGAACGACCGCGAGCGGGGCCGGCTTCCTTGCTTGCTGCCTGACGTTGCCCGAGCGAGGTGCGTTGCGCGTGTGCCTTTTGGTCTGCGCGGCGGCCCTTTGTGGTCACGCAAGTGCCCTTCGGTGCGCATTATTCCGTGAACCGCTGGCATGCAGCTCCTGTATCTATGTGACTGACGCGCACCGTCGCGCCAATGGCTCACAACAGGAAGCCCCCGGCATACTCGTTTCGAATGTAGCCTAAAGCCTTTTGTCGACGCGTTTTTGATTGGTATTGTTCTCCGTTGTTCCCGAGTGATTTTGCCTGTGAGCGATCTGATGAGTGCAGTCCTTTACCAGGAGCTAGTGAGTGTTCATTTGAGTAAAGAGCGAGAGTGCGATCGTTTTGATTGCGATCTGTAAAAGCCGCTCTTGCATCAACCTCTTGAGAGAGTGTTGATGGATGTTTGACGAGCCTAAATTCAAATAAGAACCAATTTCACGACGGCGTTAGTCGGGACACGCTACTATGAATCAAAAATCCAATAGTAGACAGTACTAGCTGCGCAGCGAGTTCGTTGTAGGCAAGTGACTACTAGCGCAGGGAGTCGCAGACAAGTCATACAACAAGGGCCACGCCAAATTTATTTGCAGACGCCACTTTCGAGGAGATCCAAGGCGAGATTGAAAGATGGCTTTTCGACCGTCGGCTATCCAACATCGCGCCCGCCTCAATTGTGGATCGCCGTCGGTCGGCAAAGGAGAGGCGACTCCGCTAAACTGCGCGCGCCTGGTCCATCGATCCGGCCCTGCCCCCCGTCTTTTCAGACGGCGCGGGCACGCCTCCCGAAGTCCGCGGCCGGCGTGGCCTCTTTCTGCGAAAAATACGGGCCGGGGACGCACCCCGGAACGCAGGGCGCGCTCTGGCGCAGCGCTTTCGCTCTTTTCCCGGCGAGGGGGGCGGGGCTCATTTTTCTGTGGGCCATATGCTGCCGCCCTGCCTCTTTGGCCCGCGCTTCTTTGCTACTCGTCGGGCGGACAGGGGGTCCGGCAATCTAAACCTGTTGCCAGGGCCCGATGGCGGGCAGGGCCAGCTTGTTCGCTGTCAGACAGGCAGAGATGCGCTGCGCGGTTGCCTTTCGGTTTGCGCGGCGGCCCCTTATGGTCACTCTCACGCCCTTGGAGTTGGATCATGCCAATGTGGCACTAGTTCCTGCACCGCGGGCTTGTTGGTTGGCTGAGACTGACGCGCGCTGCCGTGGCGCCAGTGGCCAACGCTAATAACAGCACGCAGGCGCCAGGCATACTCGTTTCATCGAATGTCGCCTGAGGCTTTTTAGCTTCCCATGTTTCGTTGGAGTTCTACTCTGTTGTTCCGGAGCGATTTTGCCTGTGAGCGACATGATGTTGAGTGCATTCCTAAACCAGGAGCGAATGAAGCTGTATTTGAGTAGGAAGCAAGACAGTGCGAGGGCTTTCGTTTGAAGCAAACAATAACAGATACTTAAGTTGCTCGAACTTGATGTAAACGTGTTTATTGTAAACTCAGCACTTGCAGCATAACCCTCGTCTTTTTAAAGGGATGGCTTGAGCCTGAATCCAAATAAAGACCAACTTGTTTCATCACGACGGCACAACTCGTAGAACGCTGACACACCAGTATACATGAATCAAAAAATCAATTAGAAATAGTAGGCACAAGAACTAGCTGCAGAGGGAGTAGGCCTAGTTGTTGTAGTACGCAAGTAACGCAACCACCAGCGGACAAAAACGAAAAGTGCAGAAGTAGCAGGAGCACTAGGCAAAGATGCTGCACCCACCGCCCGGCTCGATCACGCCGGTCTCGTGCCGTCCAAAGAGCGCATCCTCGGTATTTGATCTTCATCTTTCCGCTTGCATAATCTGTATGACAAACTCCTTTTTTACTGCACAAAAGCATTGCGCAATTTGTAATTTGCCTTTGATTCGCAAACAATACAAAACATCAGGTTGATCACCTGCAGAAGATGCGAACGCGGAACACGGCGAAGACAGCAGTGTTGAGCACGTTGCAAGGAGTATGTCGGAGGATCTTTTGAGTCAAATCAAACACAAGTCAGGAGTATCAGGATTTATATCTGTGCTTCTTACATGCACCTGGCAGGGAGGTCCGTCTCTTTCTTGACTAGAATTTTTATTGCGTCGAATTATATGCAGGTTGTCATGCGCAGCGACAGGTGGAAGGTGACACTGACATTACAATTGGGTTGTACATCTTGACGGAGATGTTTATTGACTGAAATTTCCATCACGATAGCGGATGCGACAAGACCAAAGGGTGGCGAGCCGAAGCAGGCTGTACGCGATCAGTGACCGGTACTCGTGAATTGGTTTTTATGTCAACATGCGTTTTCGTTTGTTTGTCATGCGCAAATAATACAATTCGCCTCTCTGTTTCTCATGCATATTTGCGCATGCGAAGGAGCAAATGCAAAAACAAATATACAGATCGCGCGTTGCGCTGCAGATGGAAGAGCCGGTCAAGCGTGGTTTGGTCCAGCATTTGCTCAAGGAGAGGTGGCAGGGCATCGAGCAGCTACCGCTCCGACGGAACAAGAGCAGCACCTTGGTGAAGCAGAACGTCTCGTCCTCTCGTGCGCCGCTGCAGGAGGTGACCAAAACGTCGTCGCGTCTGAACCAGCAGGATAACAAGCACCAGCTTCCAGCGCCCGTCGCCGTGAAGAACTCGACGAATCAGCACGCCGTGTTAGCCATGCAGAATCTGGGTCGGGACTTGTTAAATTTGGACAGCTCTTCCTCGAAGGAGACGCAGGACAAGGAAAATGTGAACACATCGTCGGTCGCGAAGAAAAACCCTGCAGCCGCAACTTCCTCTTCCAACAACAACAACTCCATCACGTCGCTCGTCCGTCCAGCGTCTGCTTACCCAACGACCACTGTAAGTGGAAGCAAGCAGGAACAAACTGGTGCCGAGCAGCCGACCACGACCCGGTGGGCTTCTTCCTCCTCGCTTGGAAAAATGAACAAGAACGACTCCTCCGCATTGTCGCGGGCAAACAAGGGATTGGGCCCCCGACCGACGAGCAGTGGCCCGAAACTCCGCGGCGGGAAGAAGATCGAGGGTTTAGCGGGCGACCACCCCTCGGACTACCATCGACACGTCGCGAAGAAGAAGGAGGGCGGTATTCCGATCGTGCCGGAACCCGGAGACCCCGACGCGGACGTGTTCTTCGATATCAAATGCAAAAATGTCTGGGTCTGGAACAAAGTCACTTGTCATGGTAAATCTGAATCATGTAAAAATCTGTGTTGCATGATTACCAAAAGCTGTCCACTTTTGACCTAATCGCGAGGCAGTTTCTCATGTGGATAGGCATGATAGAACTCCAACTCTCACAGACTCTGTCATGCTATGTCCTACATACCAGCCTTCATGGGTCATGGAAAACCTGCATGACAAGTCTGGCATTTCGATGTCCGTCTGACCCACCTTCCCTGCGTGACAGCCATCTGCGGCTGTTTGCACAGGGGGAGGCAAAGTGTGTCGCACTTCGGTTTAGCATGACAAGTCTGGCATTCTTCCAGACCCAGACATTTTTGCATTTGATATTCGAGGAGAGCGAGCAATACCGCAAAGAGGACCTGATGAAGGAGTATGTCAAGCGCAAGATGGACGGTAGTACTAGAGGTTGTTTTGCTTCAACATGTTTTACCATGTATAAAAATTGACTTGTGAGTACTACGCATAATCCAAAAATATATAAAAGATTTGCGTTTCATCATCTGCTCTCCTGTATGTAGGAGAATTACAGTCTTGTTCCACGACCTTTCTCGCTATTAAGCTGATGCTGCGTATAGTTGTACTAGAAAGAAACGTCACAGGCTCCACCCGCCCGCGCTCTGCCAGTGCAAGCCGAATCAAGACGCAACTGCGTGAAGCCATCGACGACGACGAAATCACGAGTCTGTTCTGCGAGAAGACCGGGAACGTCATCGGCGCTGCGAAAAAGTACAAAGCGACGAAGGCCGCGCGACCAAAAACGGCGAACGCCAGGACGAACACGGCGACGGCCGCAGACCCTGATGACCCGCTGCGAGTGACACACACCTGGTAGAAATAAACCGATTTGTCATGCAGAAACGGGATGTCCTCAGCCTCACAAATATTTTTGCTTGTCATGCATGACAAAATCATTTTTAGATATAAAACCCTTCATTTCCAGGTTGGCCCCCGGCGAACTGCCCGTCCACCCAGCGACGCTGCTCCGGCAGAAGTTCCTCCAACGAAGCCAAAGTGCGGGCGCGTTGCGGTCAAGACCAGTCAGCGCGTGGGGCCCCGGACCGGACAAGGCCAACGCACTGGAACCGATTATCGACAAGCGGCTGGACATTCCCAACCTGGTCTTCGAAGCGCTGCTAGAACCGGGTATAATCATTTAATTGTTTTCATGATTTGAAGATGGTTTTTTTGCAATCGATTTTCTGCATGACAAACACAAAGCGTAATAAACACCCTATGGCGTTTTGCATCACAAACGTTCCGCCCATCGAAGGTACCAAATTCCGGAAGATGTTCGAGCGTGGAGACCTCCCGATCGCGATTTATGGATGGCAAAAGTATTGTATTTAGTATGATTTGCATGACAAACTTTGTCAGAACCAAAAACAGTATATTTGTCATGCAGTTTTGGGAAAGAGCGCAGATCTGTCATGCAATATCGCAATTAGTACCGGAGTGCGATACTTTTGCCCAGGATCCGATCAAGCACGGTTCGAAAATGACGCTGGAGTGGCGGGTGCCCGTGGAATCGGTGAACACAAGGATTTTCCTGCCGATTTTCGTGGATGGCATCCGCGAAAGAAAATTCCCGTTTAACTACGTTAGCTTCGAAGGTATTTTTCATTTCTTCTACTGGTGTTTGTGATGTTGGGTACACGACGAGGTGATTCCATGAGTTTTAGTTATACTTTCCTTTTCACTCGATACTTCTAACGTTTGTGTCGTGTCGTGCATGCATGACAGATGAAGTATTTTCCATTGCGTCTTCAGCATCAGTATGACTTCTGACCGCTCAACACCAGGTACGATGAGCATGATACGCACTTTGAACGAGGACCGGCTTTTACGGGGGGGAGAAATCAAACACCTGCATCTACAGTGGTCTGTCATGATCATTGATTTTATTCTTTGATGCTGGTGGTGTCATGATAACACCACCAGCAGGCATGAGCCTCCACAGGCTTGATGACACTGTCATCATGAAGATGAACGTAATCAGATGAATAGAATGTGTTCTGCAGTCCTGCTCCTGTCATGCGTTCGGTAGGTTTTGACCAGTTGAATTTGAAGCGCGCGACCAGCAGGTATTTCTAGATAAGGATATCAAAGACAAACTACATAGTACGCAGATGCAGGAGTTTTATTCCGCCCCATATTCCGCCGCGGCGCTGCCGGAAGTGATGCAGAGCATTCATCGCAATATGTTGGAAAAGGACAGGAACGTGATCTGCAAGTGCATCAAGGTCCTGCGTGAGCTCGTGCCGAGGGGACCCACTCTGGGCGAAGCCCTGGTACTTAATACGTTATCTTTTGATAGAAGTTGAAGCTCTTCTTCTTCCGGAGATGCACCAGTCATTAGGCCGATTTCTCTACAACTACACGCGTTTCTTGTTCGAAAGTGATTTATCTTGTACATGAGTACAGAGCAGCTGCCATCGAAATTTGTCATGCCATCAAAGCTAAAAAACGTATCGCCACAGATTCCGCACTACAAGCTGTTCCTGCCGATTTTGAACCTGTTTGTGTGCGAGTGGCGTAACCTCGGTGACGAAATGGATTTTGCCCAACGCCATGAGGACGGACGCAACATCGCGATCATGTCCCAGGAATTGCTGCAATTGGTATCGACAGAAGCAATTTTGGGTCACGACAGCTTATTTTTGTCATGCCTCACGGTGATGGTCACGAATAAAGTCGTAAGTCTTTCTTGAAGATGTCTTCGTGATAGAAAAATATTTAGAGCGGGGTAACAACTAAACCAACTAACTCGGGATTCTAGGTGCGAAAATTTTTCTATATAGCGACGCCGGAGCCGTAGCCGGCGACTTCGGTCAGAGGTGTGCTCTGAAAACGTCCTGGCAACATATGCAAATCGTGCGGCTTTGTGCATGATTTTTGTGCTTTCGTTCACAAACTCGCTTCAGTCGGAAAGCGTGGAAAATTGTTGCGCTTCATAAATGTTAGCTTCACGGCAGGGAATATTTCGCCATGACAAAACAGGCACCGCCTGCGTTGCAAAGAAAGCGAAAACGTTGCCCCACCGATTTTCAAAAAAGACCCCAAGAGCACAAATAGCATGCACAAGAGCACAAATCCGCATAGGGGATTCCGGCTGTCGCCGACTGTGCGATCGTCGGCCCTTGCCCACACGAGTTGCCTGCTAGCTAGTGGTCGCCACGAGCTACCCCTACCTGGCTAGGGAGCTCGTGCGCGGCGACCCGTCTCGGCCGCCCGAAAAATTTTCGCACTTACAATCCCGAGTTAGTTGGTTTAGCTGTTACCCCGCTCTATATGCATGACAAAAGTTCGCTACTTATCGTGACTCGAGATTTCAGTTCGATACCCGATGGAACGCGCGGCACCCGAAACGGCGTTCTACAACATCAAGTACAGCATCCCCACCTACGAATCGTGCCTGCAGTAGAGTGGAAGGAATGGAACATGAGTGACATATTCCATCCTACGGCTTCCTCATCTTCTGCAGCGACTACAAATATGCTTATGCAGCCGGGGGTAGATCAAAACGAAATTTAAATCAAGAACCTACGCTAGTGATAGCTTCAGTCTACTACAGATTGCAGAGTATGAAAATGATATTCGATATAAACTACTTAATTGCATAGCTGTACAACGCGTTTGGTTGATAAAAATCGCTTATCAGCCGCATGTGCTATCGCAAATCGAACTCAGTTTTACATTAACCGCTTCTGTGCAAAAATATCCTGAGTAAAGCTGCAGATCATGCGGCTTTGCGCAAAAGCAAACTTCTACCAGACAAAAATTAACCAGATTCCGTCCAGAAACAAAAATACCACGTCAGCAGACTGTTTACGTTTACGTTAACCTCGTTAAAGTAGCACCTTAATTATTGTTTCACAAAGGAAAAAAATCACCTAGCTTTATTTATCGTTGGAAGGAAAAATCAAAACGTACTTCTATTTATCTTCGGATATTATTGTTTCGTCTACTTGTTTCCCAGTTTCTCTATCTGAAAAATGAACTTGTACCTTACAAGAACCTGTAAAACTGTTGCTCCCTTTTCACCCTCTTGTACAGAAAAGCGTTTCGAACTACACTACTCAACAACGAACAGCTGCTGTGTATGTACTTCCATGCAGCTTCCAACAAAATTATTGTTTCGATTTCATCAACTCGTGATCCAATTGCAATTTGGAACAATCTACAGAAGTGCTTTAAAAATGAACCTGTATCTGTTATAAAAACCAGCAACGAAATATAGAGACGAACCGTATTGAGGTCTGCCCTCCTGTATTCGGATTGTTTCTCGTGTGCATGAATGAAAATCTATACTGTGCCTAATTGGCGGTCGACGCTCGATGTTTCGCACTCTCAGAAGTGAATAAAAGAAGGTAGCTTTGATATTCGTGGCATTTCCTTCTTCAGATGCGAAATGCTACGAGGTTCTCTGCAGACCGCTTTCGGATGTGAACTTTACGCAAGTTGATCTAAAGAACCTGTCGTGCTTTCTTGATTAAAAAGCGCTGTGTTATTTCTTCTAAACATTCACATTCAGGCACCACCACGGTCGTGGGCCAGTACTGCGACAACTTGGTTCTTGACAACCAGCCAAAGCGGTATGTTCCGCTTCCTGCGAGGTTGTAAAACGTGGATCTGCTGCTGCGGGGAGTTGCATTTTCGAGAGAAAGAGAGTAACGCAGAAAGAAGTTTTGATTTTGGAACGTTTAGTCCTATTTGGCCTTGAAAGAGAAAGCTACTTTCTATCCAGATCCCCAAAACGCTTGACCACTTTCTCTCCGTCTTCATCCCGCTGTGATACATGATATTAGAAACACGTCTGCATAATAAATAGCATTCAGAATCTATCGCACCGTGACCGAAAAAATGCCAGACCCCGATCCAGATTCGTCACCGCCGAGCGGATACCTGCTTCGGCGTGCAGGTGCGAAAGGCGGCGTGGGCGGGTGCACGCGACTCGATTTCCCGGACCAAGTGGCACCAGCGCCGGACGCGGCATCCTCGAGCCGCAGGCCTATCTACGCGCCCAGGTCCGGGCTGGAAGGCTATACCAGGCAAGATCCACGGCCGTACAAGCGCCGAGCCCGTACAAGCCGGCACGGCCTTAGGCGACTACAAACTGAACAACTCGAGCGGCGGGCTCTCTTCCTGGCAGCAATCCGCGCGAAAGGGCGCCCCCGGCCTCTTCTGGGTGGCGGATCACTGGCGCCCCCGCTGGCCTGTGGCGCAGTGACAGCCAAGGGCCGAGCGCTAGGCCTGGTGGCTGCTACTAGCCGGACCGCGCCCTCGTGGCCGCTGGGGCAGGGCACGCCCGTGGGCGTGAGCTTCCCGCGCCCTTGCCATATTCCGGGTTCCCGCCTTCGCCTGGCGCCCCAACCAGCCGCAGCAGGCTCTTCAAGGGCCAACGGGCGCGGGCCCGGCTTCACGTGCGTGGTTGGCCCGTCGGTGTGCCGCTTCTTGGTGCGTAGGCCCGCCTTTTCCACTGCCCCTACTCTGCAATGGCGCGACGGGGCCGAAAAGAACTTGCCGCAGCCTGTGTCATCTGATTTATCTACGTGTATACGTCGGGTTTCCGGCGAGGTTGTAAACCGTGGATTTCTTGTTGTGCGGACTCTTTATTTCGAGGAAATGAGAGAAGTACAGGGTTCTTTATTTGCAGTTTTACTTTTGCAATCATTTTCATTTATTCGGCCTTGAGAGAGAAGATGTTTGAACAAGTACAAGCTACTTTCTATCCCGAAAACGCTTCCCCTGGACCAGTTTCTCTTCGTTGTCCCGCTGTGATACATAGTACCACGTGTGCAGCAATATGTAGCATTTATTACGAGCTAGTAGCATCGAACAACCTTGGCCGAAAAAATGTCAGACCCTCATCCAGACTCGTCAACACCGAAAACGGATCTTAGTACCTGCTCCGACGAGCAGGCGCGTGTCCTCGTTGTCGGCTTGGGTTTCGCGGGGCTCAATGTGGTGCGCAATTTGACCACACTGGCTTCGAGTAATTTTAAGCTCCATATCACCGCGGTCGACGCAAAAGAGTACTTCGAATTCACGCCCGGTGCGATTCGGGCTATGTGCGAGGCGGCGGATAATAATTTTTCCGACGACAATATGATCAGCAGCGCCTCCACCCCCTCCAAAACTACAAGCAGAGCGCACCAAGTTCTGGGTTTCGCCGTGGAGAAGGTTCGCAGCCTGCTTCCACAGTGGTGCCAGCGCCGATGGTGCAACATGGGTTATGGAACGACCACGACCTCTGGTCATTTGATCCCCGGAACTGCGACTCTCCTGAGCCGCAACTACACGCACTTTCGCTACGAGGAGTACTTCGCGGAGCTGCAAGGGAGTGTTGTCTCTTCGAGCTTCTCCAGGAAGAAAACCGCGATGAAACCACCTGCCTGCGAGATTGTTTTCAAGCAAGGACTTGTCCGGAATCTGAACCCTGGAGCGGCGCTGGTGGAGGTCGTGAGAAAGACGGAGAAGTCCTCTTCAGCTCCGCCGTTGCAACTCACGAACGCTCCTGCGGCAAAAAATACGACTTTGCAGACCGTGCCATTCGACTTCGCAGTGATTGCAACGGGTAGTGCGTACCAGGTGTGGAAAGCCGACTGCTACGGAGCCGTCGGAATCAACGAGAACGACGTGGTCGAGCCTGCGACCGGGGACAAGCACGAGAGCAACACCAGCACCGCCGCAACCAATGATTTTTCGACTGCAGATTTGGATCTCGCCGGCCGGCTGAAGTTTCTGCAAACCGAGAAACGCGTCCTGCACTCTACTTCAACGGTGATGAACCCAGGCTCTTCTCGTGTGAAAGTGATTGGCGCCGGGGTGGTCGGAGTCGAACTGTGCGCGGATCTGTTGCATTACTTCCCCCAGTTGCACATCGACCTGCAGCTGGCCAGTCGGGGTCGCAGTCAGGTTCTGAAGGACTACCCGAAGAGCGCACGGCAGTACGTTCTGAAGTATTTCGAAAGGACAAAACGCGTGCGAATTGTGTACGGAGATGACGAGGTGGAGCGGAAAAATGACGGTACAAACGGAGAAGATACTAGGAGCTCCTACCTCCGCGTTTACCGCTGCTACCCACAATCATCTACGGGTACGGACAGCATCAGCACTAAAAACCACCTCCGCGCGAACCGGCAGTTGCAGGTCCATGGTTTTTTGGAGAAGAACGTGTTTGTAGTGGGTGACGCCGCGGAACTCGGAGGTCCGGAAATACAGGATGAAGGATTACTTGGAGGAGACAAGAGCGCTGCGGTAGTACCAGAACACGACGAAGATGATTTGATTTCCCAACAACCACATGAGCAAGTGGACGTGGAGGTAAAGTCGAGCGGAAGCAGCACGGAATCCCTGGTGGGTAAGATGGAGAAAGTTAAATGTACTTCTCCGAGCAGAAGCTGCAAGAACAAAACATCAATGACCAGAAATAGCACGTGGCGCTGTCCTTCGGTTTGCAGCTCGTTGTGGAGCATTCCGCTCACGGTGCTGGACGTCGGGCTCGCTATTGTATGGAAAAATCCCCCCTCCCCATATCGAAAAAGTATGTTTCCGAAAATTTGTGTTGCTGATTTGAGACCACAAATCACGTCTGTCTTGCAAGAAGACAAGCGCAGAAGCTTCGACAACATTATGGAACCGATTTGGCATGCTGTTGCGCCTAGGGGACAGCCGTTTGTAACGCTAAGCAACTAGACCAAAACGCCCCTACTTAGGCCGAGGATCTGGCTGCGCTGCCTTACTGCAAGACAAATCGGATTTGTGTACGCAAATCTAGCATCAGAGGTTTCGTTTTGATATGGGGAGGGGGAATTTTTCCTGTTGATACTCGCGCTGGTTTCGCCTACTTCCTACTTTTGCGCGAAGCGGAAAAAACACGGCCCCCGTGCCGGTGAAAGAAATTCGGCGGGACGACAGAAAAAATACACCCAAAAGACAGTGCAGTCCCAACGAAACCGCAACGGGTACGTCGCGGAGACCACTGCCCGGCTGGTCGTGCGGCAAATCCGCGAACGGGTGCTGCTGGAGCAGCGAAAAAAGATAGTGGAGGTGGCGGCCGCAAGAAACGTGACTACTAGTACGACCTCTTCTAAAGACGGCTTGACGAGAGCGGCAAATAGAAGCACGCCGCCTGGTACAGCGGATGACCAGAACGACGATCACAGCCACAAGAAGAACAGCTCGCACTTTATTACCTCATCTGCTAGCGCCATAGTGACATCACTGTTCTCTGCTTTGCAGACGATACCGCTAGTCGAGAATTTGTTGGTGAGGGTGGCCTCGTCGACGCTCTGCTTCAGCTACAGAACAACATGCGGAGAGGACAAGAACAACTCACGTACAACTTCTTTTGACAGGAGCCGCTACCAGCTTTCCTCGACCGAGAACTTGTTCAGCGACCTGGAAGTGGTTTCTCTTGGGCCGAATGACGGAATCGTCGTTTCCGGCCGATTTTTCCTGCTGTCCGGCGGCGTGGCGGTGGTGCTGAAGAATTTTGTCCACTTTACCAAAATGCGCGAGTTACGGGGCGGGTTTGTGGAGAACACGATCTGGGGATTGGTCCCGCATTTTTGACGCCGGAAGAGTTGTAGTTTCTCGCTGGTGGCGTAGGTGAAGTAACGTCTGGCCTTCGGGTTTGCGGTTGTATCAGAAAATGACTTTCCTATCCTAATCAATCATGAGAAGATGTTTCGATTTCATCCACATTGACAAATTTTTAAGTTAGTGCCGCACCAATTTCAGGTATAAGTACCGTGACATAGGCTGTGGCCTTGTAGTTCCAGAAAACACATAATGCGACCATGTAAATCCTTTGAACCAAAAATTTGACGAAGGCGACTATTACCATCAGATTGTTCTGGTCGTGGACAGGTATAAATATATCTGTGACGCAACTACCAGAACAGAATGGCGATGCACAAATTGTCGGCCGTAGATGTTGAATTGTCGGCCGTAGATGGTGTGAAGAAGATGATGTATGAAGACAATGAAATAACGCAACTCCAGTCACTCGTGCGACGACACCGACACCCGTGATACGGCCACAGTTCAAGAATTGTCAACACCGCTACGATCTTGCGTTCATTGGTAGAAGTAGATCGACAAAAGATCTACCGGGAGTTCTTGTGCTGGCGATGTTCCTCGTGGTCGTCGACGTTTTCAATTTTTTTTTTAGCATGAAGGAGGTCGTAGGTAGCAGAATAATCGACGAGCAATTCCAACATCCCAGAGCAAGAAGATGTTCGGTCCCCGTCGGACGGAACCCGGAGGTCCAACACACCAACCATCCACGAGCCGGTCTCTGCGTCTGACTGCTCCGGGAGGTCCAACTGGAGCACCGCAGCAACCCCGAGGACCACCTGGGCGCACGCAGAGTAAGCAGGAGCCCGGTACGTTCGGTCAACATCAGCGTCTTCAGGGCGACTCAGTTCCGATCGAAGATGGAGGGTTCGGCACCTTATCTTCCAGAGCGCGGTCCTCCTCAGTGGTCAATTTTCACCAAAAGTCTTCTAGGTCGAAAATGTTAAATGAGCCACCAGACACCACTACCTTCGGGCAGGAACAACACCAGGGAGAGATGACCCGTCCTCCACGCAGGAGATCGGTGTCTAAAACGAGCGGCGCGAAGATGAATGCTGACCTGTCCTCACGTCCAGCTTGGAATTCCGATTTTGCAACTGATAGACCGGAACAAGACCACGAGGACGGGGTGATGTTTATGGCACAGCAGGATCATTTTCCGAGGACCTCCGCGCAGACAACCAAAGACACCACGGCGTCGTCAGCAGACTTCTACAGCGCAAGTGGCGTCGTGGACCACCTGGAAGCCGGTCCCGGCACTAGCGGACGAGGCAGCAGGAGGAGGAACACGGGAGTAGATGTAGATCAACATCAAGACCACGGCACTATGGTAAAAAACCTTGCTGCTTTCAGATCTGAAGTGGATTCCTTCTTGCGCAATTGCCCTAGTTTCTCGAACGAATTCAAGAAGCGGCGAGGACATCATGTGACGAGGGCAGAGTGCCAGCGTCGCACCAGTAGGTTGACGGCCGGCGAGGGTGATGGAGATGAGCAAACCGGACAAGAACATCTTGCGGAAGTGATTGAGGTTTTCAGAGAACTCGCCGCCGATAACGAGCGGCTGCGAAAAAGACTGGAAACGACCACCGCCCAGCTGGCCCTGGAGCGGACCGCCAACAGCAGTCCGTGGAAACTCTGGGAATTTTTACGGGACGAGGGAAAGGAATTGGAAAACGCGGACGAACGGCGGGTTTTCCTCTTGAAAGCCCAGATTCTCGCGCTCGAGAGGCAGGTAGCGAAGTGGAATGCGAGTATGTTGAAATCCTCCGGAGGACGCTGCGCGACAGAAGTGGAGCAAACGGGTCACGCGGGAAATTCTCTGCGGTGGACGAAAGAGAAGGTGTGGGCGCTGGAGCAGGAGCTGCGGTGCTTCGCAGAACAGCTGGTTTTGGTTTCGTCTGAGGGTGAGAATGGACGACAAGTCGGGTCATCATGTTTACGACAAGAGGGAGCTCCTGCTGGCACCTCTTCCTCCGGGACGACGACGACGAAGATGAATGCAAAACCACAAAAGCCGGAGTGGAATTTTGATACGACCACACTTGGAGTAGACCACCCGATAGAACAAGACGGCCTGCCAACGAGGAGAACTGATGCTTCTTCGCCGCACACGGGCCATGAAAGGCCGTCAGGTCAACAGTACAAAACGGATGGCGATTGTACCAGCCACAATTACACCGAGTACCACAATCGTCTCGCCTACCGATGCATGAGCAAACAGGCCATCCTCGACTTGGCCGAACGACTCTTCGACCTGGGCTTGGATTTGCCGATTGCTTCGAACGAAGATCCAGCGCAGGAGCTGCAGGGTGCAGGAACTGCTACGGGCTTTCAACGAATCAGAGTTTGTGACAACTCGTCCGCGCGAAGAAGGAAGGCGTTGGAACGGCAGCTGATGCGACAGCTCTTGCTGATACAAGAGAATAACGCTGCCGTTGCGAGTAATAATCCTAATCCATATCCACCATCAGATCTGGGGCAACCTTTCAGTCACGGTAGAAGCCCGGGGCTGTATGATGATGATCCCACAAATCGAGCCTACGAGCAAGAAGACTCCCATTCCACCGCAGCGTCGTTCGAAATTCCTGTGGATTTGCTGGCGAGCTGGAAACAGCTACTGAATACGCGAGTTGAGAAGCAGGCGACGAGAGTAGATCTCCGCAGGGCGATCTGCGAGATGGTTCGCCTCGCCGGGCAGTGGCGAGTGTACCTGACCATGCTTTTAAACGATCATGAGGGGAAAAACTATGCTGGGGCCTGATCAGCTACAGCTTCAACAGCAGCAATGATGTTGTTGCGCCATTGTGGACAGGTAGGAGCCGATCGCTATTTTCGAGAAAACTTTATACCGTGAAGTTGAAAACCAAAACCGGTAATGTCTCTTGCTGCGGTCTAATATTTGCTGTCCGTAGTAGGCGGATCATTCGTCGCGGGGCCCCTGTGCTGTCGTGTTCATCGCAGAATTTTTTTTTCAGGCTTCTCACCTTTACTTCCGTATTCCTCACTCTATTTTTTTGTTTTCTCGTTTTATTTGTATTTCGGTAATATTCGTTTTTTTCCGACCTCATTTCTTCTGCTTCGTTTTAGCAATTTGCTGACTGTTTTCAGCTCATCCAGCTGGAACAAGATGATCCGGAGAGCTCTGTGAAGGTCCCGAAGTTTTTCTTCAGGTGCTCTTTCGCATTTCTTGTGTACAATGTTCTTGCCGTCGCGTCACTACAATCAATCTTCGTGATCGCGGTGCCGGATCCACGGCCTCTGGGATCAATCACAAGCGAGTTATCGCCTGCTCTGGAACCCAGCAACATGACCTCGTCCGCTGGTGCATCAAGCTCTTCCGGAGGGAGCACCTCTCTGCCGATGCCCAGCACTGACAGTAAGAAGAACTCCGACGGTGGTGCGAAAGTTGTGCCGGCACAGGACGACCAAGGTACGAAGATCACGGCAGCATCTTCAGCCTCCTCGAGCAGCAGTAGCAAGAGGCCCGCAGCAGAACTACATGCTGGTGGACCACAAAAAATTGGTTCAAGTACAGCCTCGTCCACCTCTACTTCTTCCTCCACAGCCACCTCTAGTTCATCGTCCACGGCCATCGGAGCAGTGCACCACGTTGCAATCGAGCTGCAAGAAACGCCCGTGACGGGTCTGAGTGCCAACTCTTCGGAAACTGCGAAATTTCTTGACAGGAGCGGGAGCTACGATGTTGTTGACCCAGGCACGCCCGCTAACGATAGTACAACTGCTGCTTCTGGCGGACGAGGACCGACTGCTCAGCTCAACCTGTTGGTCGAGAAACTTGACGCCCACGCCCGACAGTTTCTCCCCCCCTGGCTGCACCCCTACTTGAATAAGGGCGACGTGAGCAATTTCGCCACCTTCTGCGTGATGCTTTTCGGACTGTGGCTGCAGGTTGTGTGGTTTGAGACGGACGAGCAACGGGAACAGAATTACATCCTCGCGTTCGGGCTCTTCGGTTTCGCGGGCGGGTTCACAAACTGGCTCGCGATTAAAATGCTGTTCGAACCGGTGTGTAATTTACCGGGCTCCGGCGTGATCCCAGCCCGATTCAAGGAAATTAGGACGGTTGTCAAGTCAACGATCATGAAAGCGTTTTTTGACGACGAGTACTCATTTTGTTTCAAATTCGACAGTTGTATTCTTCCTCTTTTGATGTATCATACGTACCAACATAGATTCAAAATCGAACGACCACTATTGCATGCTTTTCATCGCATGACAGCACATCCTTTCAAGAACACTCCACCAAATAAATCAGGTTCTTGAACTCCTACCTTAACACCCGGGTGCCGAAACTTCTGGAGCAGTTTGACATCCCGAGCCTGCTGGACAAACCGGGGTTTGAGACGACGCTGAAGCAAAAGATGGAGGAAGTGGCCGCGACGCCCGAGGGAATGATGCTCAACATGATCAAGCAAATGTTTGGGGGTTCCTTCGACGGCCTCATGCCCATGCTGAAGCCGACCTTGGCCGCGCTCGCAAAAGATCTGACCACGAATCTGGACGTACTTTACGAAAAAAAATTTTCGAAAAATGATCTCACGAACAACTACTAGAACTTGCGGTATTTTCGGATGTGCATTTCTATTTGTCATACGAAAATGCAGAACCTTAACGTTAAGCATGAGATGAAAACGCACACGCAGTATTCCATGATGTAGCACCAAATAAACACCAACCTTCTTTCAGGTCGGCAGTTTCTTGTCCGTGGAGCGTATCAAGGTGGAGATTGACCTGCTCATGACAGAGAAACTGGAATTGCTTTCCCCCGACCTCGTCAAGCGTTTGCTAGAGGAAATGATCAGGAAACATCTCGGCTGGCTCGTGCTCTGGGGCAACATTTTCGGTGGCGCGATCGGGTTGTTTTCCCTCTGGATGCAGATACACTTTGACTTGACGCGGAGATAGCACAACTTGCGCCTGCGCGACTCCCATTTGATGCGTGACATGATGAGCAACAACAAAACAGCACGACGTGAACGTGTTGCAACGTCCGAGTGGTCACGTCTTCCCGCGTGATCATATGTAATACGAGGCGCCAATAATGTAATCCTCGAAGTAGCGCAAGCGCTCGTTATGAATAGATAGATAAATTATATTTCGTGTCAGTTCCTTCACGTCAACCGCGGTTGAATTTGAATTGTGTATTGCGCTGTGTTCTTGTGGCGGTCGTGTTCCGCCTGCACTCCCGATGCCTCGGGCTCGGAGAATGTCCAAGAGTTCCAATGGATTTCCCAAGCCGTATGCGGTGACGAGCGAGGGTCCAAGAGTTCTTGTGCTGATCTGTACAAGCAACAGAGATGGTGCGGTAAAAAAGTGAATTCATCCAATGTCCTCTCAGCGAAGAAGTTGGGGCCGCAGCAGTACCAAGACATATTAACAAACTCATCATGGTCGTTTTCAATAATGCTCCTCGCCTGGCACCAGCAGGTCGGGCCGCTTGCGGTGCCTCCACGTTTCGAGGACCGCCTCCAGCAGCGTCGATGCGGCGTCGAGCGACGAACTGCATCCAGAACGACATGTCCCACTTGAACGGCACTACAAGAACATCGAACAGTAATTGTGTCGGGACTGTTCTTGTTTCATCCTCTGCAACAGAAAGCTCCTGTTCATCCATGCGGGAAGGGGAAGCTGCTCCTCTGCCTTCAACAGCACCTATAACACAACCAACAACTTCCGCCTCCTCCAAAGCCGCAACGGCGAAGCTGCTGGCTGCCCGGTACGGTTTGAACAGTGAGATATGAACTGCACAAGCATCGCACTTCTAGTAGAAAGCGCATGACAAATTTGCTCAGCATGATGAGAATCGGGATTTGTTGTAATGTGGATTCGCCTCAAGAAACGAGCTTGCAGTAATGCATGACTGCGATTACTACGAGAACGTTGCGCATGCTTTTGCAGTACATATCAGACCAGTTGGTACAACGGAAGTTTGAAGAAGCGGTCCCACACCACCATGCTGCCGAACGCAGACTTGTATCCTGTGCAAAAGTTTATCGTATTCGTACTAATCGAAATCATGCATTACAAATGTGGCTTCCTACCTACATCTGCATGAAAATTACAGTTTACTGTTTCTTCTATACGAAAATGAAAATTTGTGATGCAATTTCTACTACCAAGTACGAGGAAACTTTTGCAATGCATAACTCGCAGATCAAGTACAAGTTTCCCAAGCTGCCCTGGGACCAGGGGGACGAGATCTTGACGCGCATCATGCGCCGGGAGAAACAGAGCAAGAAGAAGCACCCGTGCCTGCAGACCTTCGCGGACCACTTGAACAGTGTCCGGCGCTGGCCTAACCAGTACCTGAAGTACGGCAAGGTGGAAGCGGTCCGGCACCTGCAGGCGCTGGAGAACTTCGAGAACTGGGAACCCAGCGAGGCCGTCGGGTACCGCAAGCTGCTGGAGCATTTCGACGTGTTCGGCGACGCGCAGAACTTGCCGGAATACCGCCGCGAGCGGAACAAGCCCACCGCGGTGCAAGTTGGAGCGAAGCGGGCGTGGCAACTCGATCCCATGTTCGACGAACTGGAAGAATAAGCTCTTTGTAGCTAGTCGTAGTAGTACCCAGGATGTTCTTCTGATCAAGAGGTTGCTCAATTTCAATTTATCAAGACGAGAATGTTGCAAAAAGAAAAGATAAAGAACGCGCACATATTTTTACACCGATGAAGGGTCTTCTGGAATTTCAAATAATAAATCCGACCCTCGGAATTGAATGGTGTGAACCCGCTCAACAGGGATGTGTTCAAAAATGCAAAAATTTCTGGTGTTCTTCTTTTGCGCTTCGACTTGCTGTGTCATCTTCTACCGCCAGTACTTCGTAGCAAACCGCGCCGCCGTTTCTTTTTCGCAGGTGACGAGCCCATCCGGCCTTGGTGTTGGTGGCAGTATCGGCCAAGTGAGTCGGGCCCCACCAAGCCGGCGCGGGTGCCTGCTGACGAATACGCAGCGCGCCACCTGACGCCGCGGGCCATTATCTAAAGCATGGCGCTGGAGCTCCCGCACGCTTGCGAAGGTGCGCGGCCTGTGTGGGGACTTGGGTGGGAGAAGACCATGCGCGCGTTGGAGAATGGCCGAGCGCTTGGGCCTGATCTCGTTGGCGGCGCTCCCTCGTGTGTTTACTGCCATAACCGAGGGCCCCCCGATATGGTCTGCAGAACCTGCGTGGAGGGCGCCCCGCCCACGGTCTGCGAATTTTCCAAGGCCGGACGGCAATGGGGGGCGCTTGTTCTCCAACGCACTACAACGGCGCCGCCGAGCAAAGGAAAGCCTGGGCGCCATGGCGCAGCAGCCGCCACGTAAAGCTAAAGGGGGCCAGTTGTGCCGCCAGCGTTGTGCGCGGGGACGGACTGGGCCAGAAAGCGCGACCGCTTTCCGGTGGCGCCCGCACGCTCTTGCGACGGGGCTGCTCTGGCCCGCGCTTGCGGGGGGGCCCCCCCCTGCGTATAGTTGGCCCGCGCTTGCGAGGAGGCCAGAAGGCTCACCCATCGCGCGAGCTAAAGGCCCGCGCGACCGATGGGTGGAAAGACAGCTGACAAAAAAAGCAAGGTGGCGGCGAGGGGAAATGCCGGGAGCAAAGCGCCGGCGGCGGCGGCGGCGGAAGTTTGACGGGTTTCATCAGCAGCGGGCCCGGCTTACCTTACCGCGCTGTCGCGTGGCGCGCTCGCTTTTTCCTCAAGTTTGTCCAGGGTAGGCCGCGAGAATAGTTGGGCCGTAACAGCACTGCTCAAAGCCAAGCACTGGGCCGAAGAAACGGCAGACCTACGCCGCGGGCGACGAAGGTGCTTCCGGGTGCCTGCGATGGTTTGCGTCTTGTGGGGGCCCGGCCTCGCTTGTTTCGCTCGTCTGCTAACCGGCGTGCCGGGCCGTCGGTCGCCGGCGTCTGCGCGCGCTAGCTTTCGCCACCGACGGCGTGAATGCCCCCGGCCTCTGTGTTTCAAGAGTGAGGGAGGCGGGGCCGGAGGGCAGAGGGAGGCACGAAAACGCCCGGGGCGACAGCGCGCCGACCCCAGCAGGGCGGTGGCGAGCGTAGGCGATGGCAGCACTGCAGAGGAAACGCGGCGCGATTTGAGGCAGCCCCCACTAATAGGCAAATCCTCGCGCAGAGAGGCCGTCGGGGATGCCGTGCGCGTGTTTTGCGCGCGCGTCCCGCTCGCACGAGTGCGCACAGCTTGCAACTGGCTGGCACAGCAAAGGCACTCCCGCGCCTGGGGTGGTCCATGGTGTGGCGGGTCTGCGGCCAGTTGCGCCGGCCGCGCGCCTTCCAGCCAGTGTGTGTCGCATGCGCGCGAAGCAGGGGTCGGGTTTTCGTGGCGTCGCGCCCGCGCTTTTGAGGAGGCAAGCCCGGGGGGTGGGCTGGCAGCACGGCGGGAATACATGGACTACCTCCTACATCGGGCGGACTAGGGAGACCAGCTATGCCGCCCAAAAAGCGCGCTGGTAGTGCCGGCGGCACACCCGGCGAGGGTGGGCCGTCGTAAGTATGCGCGTGCGCCTAACAACTTTGGCTGGGCGACCGATGGCGGCGCGTCCGCCCCCGCGGAAGCTTCGCGCCGTCGGCAATCTCCCAAGCCGGCCGCCTCGTTGGCCCGTCTTTCATACATTCTGTTCGGCTGTTTCCGGGTGGCCTGTGGCCCCCGGCAGCGAGCGCGCGGCAGGATGGGGCGCCGCGCTTTTGCGTATTTGCTGCGCCCCCCCACCCCCTCGCAAAGCGGCAGCGATGGGCGGTTTCTTTTCTGGGCCTCCCAGCGTGTGCCAGCCCCGGGCCCAATGTCTCGGTAGGCGCAATTATGGGGCGCCCCGCAGCAGCGGCGCAGCCCGTCGGCACGAAACTCGCAGGGCCGTGGGCCTTGCGCCCACGCACGTCGGTCGACGTCGACTTATGTGGTGCGGCCGGTCGGCAACCAGGGGTCCGCGGCGCCTGTGTTTCTTGTTCGAGAGGATGAAAGGCCCTACTAACGACCCAGGGCAAAACGAATGTACATAACGAGCTACGGCATGAAGTCGATGATCAAGGCGAAGGTCAAGAAAAAAGCGCAAAATGTTGCGACGTTTCTGTGTTTTTGGCGGCGTAGTCCGCAACTACTCTGGTCTAAACTGCAGAAGCTGTTCATGTGAAGGGTTGAAGTACTTCTTGGTTTGCAAAACAGTAAGTATCGTGGAGCTTGAAAATGTAAATTGCGTTTTGTATGTCTGATCAACGTACGAGAACAGTAAACACAAACAAACTCATGACATACAGTACAGAAGTGATCTTCGACGTTTCAGCTTTTCGCATTTAATTCATCTTGTGTACGAGCCTTGTCGAAGATCCCTATTTTTTTCACGTTCGCGTTTGCTTACTGCCATAACAAACACATTCTCGAAGCCGGATCAGTTGTAATATGCGGCCTCTAGTACCGGCTTCACTTAGGATCTGTCTTTGTATCAATTGTATTTTTGCGGCAAGTTTGTATACAACTCAAGCACACATCAGGAGCAATGAGAACAATTACGCTAAACTGATGAAATAAGACACGACGTTGACGACGATAGAAAAACTTTACTAGTAAAGAAGAACACATTTCCACTTCCCTCTGTCAGAACTACTGGTAGTCATCACGGTCATGAACGCATCAATTGTTCCGAAATAAAATGGAAAAAAGTATGACCATGACGGAAATAAAGATATTATCGTGGAAGGGACGAACACAACAGAAACGAGCAAAAAGATGCTGATTCTGAGTTGGAACGTGGCGGGTTGGGGGCCCACGCATCAGACCATCTGTGCGCACTTTGGGAGCCTGGAAAACTACCTGGAGAACCACGGGTGCGACGTGCTGTGCATCCAGGAAAGCAAGGTTTCCTCGCAAAAAGCGTCGGAGATCACCACGCACCGGGAGGCGTTCCAACTGGGCCTCGAGGTGCGCGAGCACGAGGTGGAGGTGGACAACGGGGGCGTGACCTCCCTTGCGGACGCACGTGGAGGTCCTGCCCATCTACTTCCGGCTTCATCTGGGACCGCCACGACCACGTCCACGGAGGCGGCATCTTCAGGTACTTCTAGTGTAGAAAAAACGCAGCCGCAATCAATCAGCAGCACCATAGTTGATACTCATGTTCAACAAGAACAGCAATCTCATTCTCAGCCCAACAGCTCTCCTCGTCGGAAGTGGAGTTCTTTTTTCGCGTTCAACAAGAGCAAAAATAAGCGGCTTTCCGGCTTCAACGGCGTGGGCTGTTTCGTGCGGACCGACAGGTATCCGGTGTACGCGGCGACCCAGAAGGTCTTCAACGACCCGGAGCTAGACGACGAGGGACGGGCGCTGCTGCTGGACTTTGGAAAGTTCCGGCTGCTGAACATCTACGCGCCCTTTGCGAACTCGCCGGACGTGACGGTCGAGCGACAGCGGTTTAAGCTCAAGTTTTTGCAAAAACTAGAAGCCAGGTACCTCCGCACGGTGAAACAAGAACAGCCACCAGGCACAACTACCACTGGAAGAATCACAGCAACCTCGTCCACCACAGCTGGTTGCTCTTCAACATCTTCTTTTACAGCGAAAGGGGCCGACGTGGTCCCTGTACCAGTACAACTACAACTGCCCCAGCAAAGTAATGGCTCGTCTGCTGCAGGACCTGCAAACGCGGGTCAACAGATGGTACCAGCAGCTGGCGTCGAGGGGGCTGGAGGTGATATGAAACAGCAACAGAACAAAGCACAGACCGGCGGAAACAGAGGAAATAAGTTTTTCGACCCAGACAATTTTACAATCCTGTGTGGAGATTTCAACATTTCCTACCGGAAAGAGGACGTCAAGGTGCAGCGCCGACTACTCGAAGTGGACCGGGAAACTGGGCGAGTGGTGGCCGGCATCTATGCAGTTCAAATGTGGCTGGGTAGTTTGGAAAGTCCGAGTTTCTTTCTGTTGCTTGGTGTGCGCGACAAAAAAATCTGTATTGCGTGGGCAGCATATCAAGCAACGCAATTTTGGAAGCCCGAAGATGGCGTTTGTCATGCAGGATAGATGTGACGCTACGCTACAGCTCGCGTTTCAGAACTTCGGGGCCATAGCCATACGAAACCTGCATAACAGATCTTGCAACCTTTCAGACCTCCCAGACATATTTGCAATGCATAGCATGCCGGCAGACATGATTCCCCTTCCGCTCAACGTGGACCAGGATCCGGACGACGGGAACTCCGGTGAGGAAGACAACACAGCGACCCCAGGAACAGCGGGTGTAGTTGGTGCAGGATCCACTTCAAGGCCACCGCCGATGAACACTGGGAAGAACGCGATGACGGGTAGATTAAAACAAGACAATGGCTCATCATCCCGACAAGGAGAAGGACAACTACCTCTGCAAAGTACATCAAGTGCTGGACAGCCAAAGCCTCAACATACTCTCGGAACAATTTCCGCATCCGAAAAGAACCCCACACGAGGACTTCGTAGTACTGATAACCCCGTAGCTGCTCCTCCTGCAGCGCACATAGCTGCCAACGTGAAGAAAGATGCCGTCGTGCCACGACCAAAACCTGCGGGGCAGCCGAAGATCTCGAGTTTTTTCTCTGGGTTTCCATCCGGGACGACGGGGACCGCAGGTGGGGACAAAGGTACAGATGGTTCTTTGATCTCAGGATCACAAAACATTTTCAAAGGGGCAGCAGGCGACGAACAAGATGTCGCACTACAACCTCAAAAAAATTCCGCAACTTCGACAAAGACGCTGCTAGAGCAGAACAAAGTAGGTCGTGTGGTCGAGACCAGTACAACAAATTCAGTTTCATCCACCTCAACGACTGCGAGAAGTACGACGGTAACATCAAGCTCTACTTCATCTAGCAGCTCGACAAAGTTTCTCACCGTCGCCGCTGCAATGGAGCAGTCCCAGCTGCCACTGAGCGCGTTTCGCGCGCACGGCCTGGCCCGGCACTTGCGGTTCGAGCAGGAGGCCGTGAGATGGCTGCAAAAGCTGCTGCGGACCAAGTGCGCAGACTTATTCGACGTAATTTACGGTAGGACCGCGAGGGACCGCTTCACCTGCTGGAATCAGTTTACCTCGGAGCGGGTCGAGTCGAATAACGGGTCAAGGATAGACTTGATTCTCGTGTCCAAACCTCTTCTTGCACGGTACTTGCGACCAGCGGGAGGAGGAGCTGCGGCTGGAGAAATGCTACAGAGTCAGAACCTTCTAGAGGTAGAAAAAGATAAAGAAGATACAATCAGCCGGCGGGGAAATAGTATTAAAAGCATTATGTACGACGTTGGTTTTCTGGACGCGGAGGAAGCGAAAAATCTTGACCTTGCGGAAGGTGTGCAGAAGTACCTTGCAGCTACAAAGGGGTCCCCGTTGGATCACGAGGCGCTAGGGTCAACACCAGTTGCACACAGGAGCGCAGCGGTGGACAGTGAAGATTGTGTCCAAGAAAGTTGTAAGGAGACTGGTACAAAAAGAACTGCGACAGCACCACTACAGGAGCACCCGCCCGTCTATTCCCCTCTCCCACTTGACGGGCACTTCGTCTATGACCCGCGAATCTCGGACGTTCGCGGACCCTTTACGGAAGAGCAGGCGGCCCACAACGCAGCTACGTGTTTCGGCGGCTGGCACGGCCTCAACCGCTTCGCCTCACAGGGGCAGCGAGACGAATCCGGGCAAAAGGACGACATGCGGCTGAACAACAGTCAGTTTTCCCACAATTTTGAAACCGCGGAGCGGTTGCAGCTACGGCACTGGGCAAGGGTTGGTAATAGTACGACGAAGAACAAAAACACCAGCAGTGGAGAGGGGTTACAACTACAAGGGAGGAACCACAAGCCAGACGAGAGGACCGCAGCGGACCACACGTCAACCAGCAGTCCGAGGGATCTTGGAGGTCCTTTGACGAGGAGCTCCCTTCTGCAGAAAAAGCGCCACCTTGCGAGCATCATTTACACGCCGCCCTCCTACTCGGACCACACCATGATCAGCCTTCTCCTTCCAGACGAAGTCTATGACTCGTTGCCCAACAAGCCCTGCGGTCTGTCCGCAGCGCAGACACGAGAGACGCACCCCTGGAGAAACCAGACGCGGTCCATGTTGTCCTTTCTCGGCGGTGGTGGCAAAAGGTCGGGTGCCGGTGTGCAGCTGGGTGCTGCAGGAAGTGTGAAGTTGGTGAATCCCGCATCAAAGCGGCAGCGAACCTGAGTAGTCTTGTGCTGAGAAGGAAAGCTTTGATGTGCAGAGACAGTGCGTGTTTCTTCTAGGTGTTACCTGTGGTAGATCATGTTGTTGAGCGACATTCATTGGTGTGTATACTGAATATTGGACCTGTGAAAAGGGACTTTAGCAAAGCTTGATGTGTTGTTGAAAGCACCGAAATATAACGTAGAGCGCAAAAATGAGTCGACATTTTGCAAGTTTCAGCAAGCCATCAACTTCAGGCTGCAGAACTGCTGCGTTCAAAAAGACGAATGTGTTCGCGAGGCGTTCTCGGTGTTGCTATTGTCAGCATTTCCTAGCAGCATTGTTCGACTCCCCATTTTCGCAGACCAACAGAATGCGAGGGGGAGGCAGCGGCTACGGGGCCGTGGCGGTGTGTTGGTGTCCGGGGGGCGCTGCCCGTCAGTACGGGGAACCTGCGCAAACCCCCCGCGTAGGCTACACCACTGGCCGCCGTGGAATAGGGCGCGCTGCATTCCTGCCGGTAGGCCGGGGGGGGCGCGCCACAGAAGTGGGGCCCCCGGCTGAAGGTTGCAACCTTCAACAACGGCGGCCCAATCCTTGCGCCTAAGGTGCGGCGGGAACTAGCGCCGCGGGCCGGCAAGGGGAACTGACAGGCAGGAGGACACGCCCAAGCCAACCTCTGGGCCCATGTTTTGGCAAGAACGGAAGCGCTGCGGACTGTCACGCGTGAGACTTTAGGGGCGGCCTGCGGCGCCCCGCTCGCTACGCGCGGGCGGCCGCGGCCCGTCAAAGGTTGGCACGCCCGGCAACCTCCAGCGGGCATATCGCGAAGCGGACTACGCGCCATGGGCGCCAGGCGCCAACCGGTAGCCCTCGGCGCGCCGCGCGTTTCCGTTGCTCCACTCCTTCCTTTGCGCGCGCCCGCGGCTGGTGATGCGGACAGCCGAAGCCCCGAAGGGTAGCAGCCCAGATCCGAAACGGAGAAAATCTGCCTCAGGCTCGGATGCCTTGACTTAGTGAAAAGTTGGCAATGAGATAAGTTTTGTGGAGCATGGGTAAATTGGCTTCATGTCTACGCCTACCCCAGCCGGCCGGCGGTTCGGTGTTTCGCCTCTCGACGGGGGGCGCCCTATCTCTGGGCCCGGGCGGCTCCGCTTTTGATTTAGAAAAGCAAAGCAGCAAGCCCAAGCACAACGCACGGCCAGGCACCTGGCCCCACGCCAAGCAGTGCAGAGGAGCGGCGCGCGCAGCTGCGGCGCCGGGCCCGGGTTCCCGCCCCCCCGGTGTGGCGCCGGGTTTGGGCCCGGCCCCGCTGCCTGGCGGGTGGCGGGCCGGCCTGCTTCGGTCGGAACCCCACTGGGCCGGGTGCCTTCGGGGTGCTCCATGCATGTCCGTCGGCCCATCGGGGCGGGCCCCATATGTGATCAGAAGGAATGCCATAGGCCGCGCCGCCCGCCCTAGCGAGGGAGCCCCCGACGGAGGCGCGCCGTTCGCCCGGGCCCAGCCAACGGGCCCCGGCCCTGGCCATCTGCCGCCCGCCGCCCGCCGGGCGCCCCCCCGCGCGCAGGGGGGCCCGCCGGGAGCCAGCCAGCCGGCCCAGCAGCGGCGCCCGCGTTTGTGCGCACTTGCGCGCCCTTGCCTGGTCGCTATTTATAAAAGCGAGGGGCGCCCGGCGCCGCCCGCCCGCCGTGCCCAGGTAGGCGGGCGGCCGTGGGGCGGCAGGGCGAGCGCGTGCGCGGTCTCTGATTGTGTCCTTCCGTTTTTGAATGGGCCCGCGCCCCGAGTTGGGCGCCCGCGCAGAGTGGTGCCCGCACCATAGCAGCAGCCGTAGCCCGAAGACGCGCGGTGGTTTTATTCGGCGCCCCGTAGCAAGCGCGCCGCCTGGTGGCAGGTTCCGTTCGTTCGTACGTTGGCAGGCGAGAGAGCCCGCCGCCCCGCCGATCCGTACGACGAAGCGATTCATCGGCCCCTTGGTTTGATCTGTGTAGCACCACAAGCCCGTGACGCGCGCGTTTGATTATTGTTTCGATGGCCCCGCCGCTGGCTAGACAGGAAAAGAAAAACATACATGAGCAAGTGCCCTCGAGCCCGGTTGCATGCTTGTCCCTTGCGCACACAGTGGCAGCTCGGCACCTTGGATGCTAATATGGACGGCGCCTAGCGCTCCCTCGTCTGTGGTTGTTCATGTCATCTAACCGACGTCGAAGAACTAGCCGATCGCCCTGGTCCTTGCTTCTTTTTCTTGTGTTTTCCCGTCGTCCTTTGTTTGGCTAGCATGCTCTTTTGGTTCAACACAGCAGGTTGACGTCAGCGCCATTGGAGTCCTCAGGATATATATTCTTGAACAGCACTAGTCCTGGTGGACGAGTCATTGATCTTCTCTGACCGAAAAAGCCAGAGCAGTTGCCGCATTGCTGAGGGCCAGCACTTATTCTTCTCGACATCCAGGCACAAGAAAATGTTGCTGGGCAGACACGATCCAGCGCCGCTGCGCCCCTGCTTCATTGCGGTCTACAACTTTTTGGCAGTCGCAGGGCTTTTTGGGTCTGTTGTGGTACTACCCAGACCCACCTCTGCTTCATCCCAGATCAAGAACGGATTCCGGATCGGGCCCGAGGATTCGTTCTGGTTGGACGGAAGGAAGTGGAACATGCTCGCTATCCACAAAAAAACAACCATCCCCATCCAATTTGTCATGCAAATCATGTATGGACTCCGCGTCCTGCTCCTGTGTTTGTCGCGCATAAAATGAATGGGGATGGTTGTTTTTTCCTGGATACTCGCCGGCGGAATGCACTACTTTCGTGTTCCGGAGCCGGACTGGAAGGAGCGACTCTTGCAGCTCATGGCCCTTGGCCTGAACACCGTGGACACGTACATCGCGTGGAACGTGGCGGAGCGCGATATCCGCAACAAAATGAGCCACCCCGTTCCAATTTGTCATGCAAAACATGCATAAAAATAAAAAAGCCCAGTATTTGTCATGTTAGAAATTGATGGGGTTGGCTCTTTTTCTTTGGATGCGCGAACTCGACTTTTTCGATGCGGCGGTCGCTGCCGGAAAGGCAGACCCCGCAGCGCTTTCCCGGTCTTCCGGTGGCCTAGGAGTAGGTGAGACAAGATTGACGGCGACGAACGCAGGAGGTATATAAACGCATATGCTTCTTTTTGTTCGCGTAGTACCACTAGAGTGGCAGCAGCAGCTCCTGCAACGGACAACTCCCTCTATGTTCATACGCAGCTCTCGACAGCAACTCGATGTCAAACATGTACCGTACCCGTACGTCGTCACTAGGCATTGATACTTAAAATACGACACTGATGATCATATGCCGTTTTTCGTGAAGCACCCAGTTACAAAAAGGTAGGAGTGCCAGCACGCGATCATCCGGAGGACGAGCAGTTTTTTCTTCCGAAGTATTTGAAATTCATTCGTCTTGCCGCGGAGCTGGGTCTTTTCGTCCTGCTGCGCCCCGGTCCGTACATTTGTGCGGAGTTTGACTTTGGCGGTTTCCCGCAGCGGCTGGCCAGGCTGGGCGAAGCGAACCTGCGGACGTTTTCGCCACAGTACCTGCACGAGGTTGCCAGGTATTGGCACCGGCTGCTTCCCCCGCTCCGAGACGAACTCTACACGCGGGGACTCGGCGGTAGCATTATCTTGATTCAGCTAGAGGACGAGTACGGTACCTGGGCGGACGCCAGTGTGAGTGGCTCCGCACCGCAGAAATATCTGCAATTTCTCTGGATGCAGATGCAGATCGAGCTGCAGGAGGAGGTGGACGTAGCAAAGGCTAGTAGTTCTGATTCACCCGCCGACGTCGACCACTCGGCAGTGCGGAGAAGTTTAGGGGCATTTCTGGAGCTCGGCGATATAACCGAAGTAGAAGCAGGAAAGGATAACCGCGTACAGCAGCTACTTGAGGCGGTAATCTCCGGTGTGACCAAGATGACCATGTCCCCTCCTTTCGTGGAATTCTTTACGGTGGATCCACCCGGAGACCTTGTGAAAGGCGGTTTACCAAATGTGTACAAAGTGGCAGACTTCGGCCCGGGCGAGGACGCGAAGGCGGCGTTCGCGAAGATGCGAGCGGTGAACAGTCCCGCGGGGTTCTCTCCCCCTTTTGTTGGCGCGCTGTACATATGAACTGCAAAAGTATCGTACTCGTATAAATGCATTACAAATTTTCTCCGCATGAGAAATGAAATTTGTCATGCTGATTTACATTAAGAAAAATACTTGTAATGCAAGAATTGCATTTGAGTTTGACGTATTGTACGAGTACGATACTTTTGCACAGGATAGTACACCGGGTGGCTGACGCACGTGGGCGACCGGACCATGGCCTCGCGCAAGGCAGAGCAGTTAATCGCAACTGTAAAACAGTGCCCCAATTTTGCACTCTACGTCGTGCACGGCGGGACGGACTTCGGCTTCACGAATGGCGCGAACGTTCTCGGCGGAACCTTTCGGCCACAGCCCGTGAGCTACGATTACGACGCGCCGATCTCGGAAGACGGTGCTGCGATTAGCGAGAAATACCGGCTACTCCAAAAGGAGATTCGTTCCCGGGAGCACGCGACGGGGTTGTTGCCAGAGGGGACGACGGCGGCGACAGCAGGAGGAAGAGTAGCAGGCGGTAGAGCTTCTTCAACACCGGAGCTGCGTGAAAATCATACCGATGTAAAGACATCTTCCCAGCTAATCAAACTCAATTTCCGAAATCGTGGTAGTCTGCTCACGCTGTTCGAGCGGGCGACACAAGGCCGGAAAAGTGCAGCTAGCGGAAGCGACAGCAACAGCAACTACAACAGTTGCGTCGCGATCAAAGAGCCTAATTTTCTCGATGACATTATTTCCATTTCTCCGGCATCGTCCAGCGCAAAGCCTACCTCATCCTCGCAGCGAGTGGAGATAGATTCCTTTGACCAACTACTGATGTTCGAGTTCAGGCACGGCGGAGAGTCAGAGTCTGCTGCGGCTCCACAAGATCTATTTCCGCGGCACGACCAGTCCGAGGCACTGTCTACGCAAGAGGAAATTTTCTTGCGCATCACCGATCTGAAAGATCGCTTGTACGTATTGGGAGGCGCGGTCAGTGCCGATGGTACCAGTCGAGACGAACATATTAAATCGGCGTCAGCAGGTGCAGAAGCGGGCCGTAAATTTGGTGACGAAGATACCCCCGGGGCAGAAAGATTACAGGGGGAGAGCGGTCCAGCAGCAAATAACCGCGTAGTCGTGCTGCAGCGACCGAACCTCGCTGTGTCGCCGGATTTGGCGGGAACCCAGGCCGGCAAGGAGCATTGGCTACGAATGGAAACAGGTGGATTTACTGACTCTACGTCGAGGACGGGAAGAACCCCAACCCAAACGTCAACGCTTCTTCTCTTCGAGAGTCTTGGGCGCGTCAACTGGTCCCGGGAGGTCGCGCGGGACCGCAAGGGGTTTCGCGTTGCCTGGTACAAATTGGACCGGTACACGGGTAGGAAAGTCAAATTGGCGCAGCCTCCCTCCGGTCAGTGGTACCTATGTAAAAACGTGTTAGAGACACAAGGACGAGTAGCAGCAGAAGCAGCGGTGACGGTCGTGCACGACCGTGAGGCGATGGAGAGGGCGGAAAAATTGCAAGTGCCAACTGGTGAGAAGTTCGCGTCGTTTCCGCTCGTCTTCGAGGCTCAGTTCGATTACCGAGCTTTGGATGAGCCAGAACAACTACAGGCAACCTCTTCTAGTACTATCCGAGGTGGCTTCTGGCTGGACGTTTCTCCGCTTTCCCGTGGCGTGGCGCTGGTGAACGGCCGCGTTCTGGGGCGATACTTTGCGGAACAGGGCCCGCAGCGGCAGTTGTACGTACCCAAGTGCTTCCTCGATGTTGGCATTGCAAATACCCTGCAGATCGTCGACCTCGACCCACGGTTTTCGTCCCACCTGAAGAGATCGAGTTTCGAACTGGCTGTGCGGGGTAGTAGGAGTACAAATACTGGCATCACAGACGGAACAAGGATGATCACCGGCAGAACAAGCAGTACCACGACGACCGGCACAGAAGCAGAGCAGAATGTTGCAGCTATCGTGGCCGCCGCATCGCCTTTGGTGCAACCAGGAACAGCACTGCAGGAGGGTCGTGATGTCCGTGCAGTAGGGAAGCGAAGCCGAAGGCGACGAACAATCGACATCGCGTACCCTTTAATGGATCCATTTTCGACGGAAATCACCTCTGTGCACTCTACGGCGGTAGACCCGGTTCCGAGGGAAACGGCAGACCGGATGGACCAGCGCAGCTTCGCTCCTGCTTCATCGTCTAGGGCAGCTGCAATGCAGGAATCAAAGTCCAGAGCTGGTATTCTCGCCATCCCTGCGGGAGCGAATGCAGGAAAGAGCGCAGCGGTGCAGCACCATACACTTCTTCTGGTTGCGCTCGAACAAAACACACAAATGTCGTTCTCTGGTCTTGTCGTGCTCTATCTTATTGCGCTTTTCGTCTTTCATCGCAGAAATATGTGCAAATCTTCTGGAACGTGAAGCAATTTTGAATTCGATCCACTAAACTACAAGCTAGATGAAGCGTCATAGATTCAAGAACAAAAGCGATATGTGAAGAACTAGGCACAACTCACAACTGAGTGTCGTTGCTCGTACAAAATGTCTATACACAGGTCGGGCGATCATAATATCGTTTTTTCGATCCTATTGTCGTGCGAGCAAATTGAGCCTCAAACACAAAAAATCGTCTCCACTTCATGAAAAAGGTCTCCTACACCCCATTTCGAACCGGATCCTCGGTCTGCAGGTATGACAATCGCAGCTTTGCCTTCGGCTTCGGCTATGTTGGTGTGATCCTCATCTCCTTATACGAATTCTTTGTTGCAGCGCGTCTTTTTTTGCATACCTGCAAAGAACATGGAACAAGATCCGAGTTTGAGTTTTGTACACGAACTATACAGCAGCAGGATTATTTGAATTGACAAGTGACAAGGCCACTGTTTTTTTTGTGCGCATAATGTCATCTCGAAGTTGTAGCATATGCGAAGCTCATCTTCGACGATACAATTTCGCTAATCAACAACACGATCACAGGCCTGGACGAGGTCGAGGAAGTACGCATAACAATAAGCTGTGAGGAATACGAATGAGTGTTTGTCAAAGTTGTAGTGAGAAGGAAAAGCTTTTCATAATGCCTATACTGGACTAAATGCTCTTTTTTTTTGACCCGAAGGAAACAAAATAAAAAGAAGTTTTGAACAGGAGAAGTGGTTGTTTTTTGTGACAAGATGGTTGAGCAGCATCAGGCATGGCTTCGCTTTCGATCAAAGCCAAGCAAGGAGCCGTGCACCGTCGCGCACACGGAACTTTGCCCTTCTGGCCGGATAGAGAGGAGCATCATGAAGATCGCTTGACGACGTTGGCCTCCTCAACAGCAGTATGAGCGAGCCCAACCTCAGCGGTGGAGCGCCAGCGGCCAAAGCAGCCCACGCGGAGCGGCAGATGGAGGAAGGTACTGTGCAGAAGCATTTGCTGCGCTCGGAGAGTGCTGCAGCAACGCCAACGGAGTCCCCGCGACCGTCCGTCAGCAGTGAGAATAGCGGGCCGCTTGGCGACAGAGGGGACGACTTTTTGTTTTTTTGGACATCGGTGCTCACATTAGACGATCTCTCCTGCCAGCCAACCTTCCTCGCAGGGGAGAGACATGGAGTTGCAGGGAGTTTGACCGAGCGGCGCAAATGGTGCGACAGCGCACTTGCTGCCAGCAGAGAACTGTTCTCCGCCACGCGGGACCACGACAGCCGAGAAGAAAAACAAGTTCAAGTAGTACGTCTCCGTTCGCTCTTTTTCGGTATTTTATCCTTCGATGAACTTGGTCAATGGGTTCTCCCGTACTCTGTGATTGAGTATGGTGTGGGCTTGCTGGAGCGCTTGGAGCCGGGGATCCTGGACCAGTTTTTTGACACGTCCGCGGATTCCATGTGTTGTGACATGGAGCAAGAAACAGAGAGGCATTTCTACTTTGCAGCGTCTCTCTTGACTTCGGTTGACTTCCGGTGCTGGTTCGGGCTGCGCGATCAGCGTCTGAGTCTGTCCGGGTGCGAAACAGGACACGGGAGGGGCCTGTTGGAGGCGTGGCCGCGGCTTGCGAAAATAATTTCTGAGGACGACGAATTGGCAATGTATCTCGTCGCGAGAGCAATTGAGCAAACAAACCAGCGGTACGCAGCGGTTCAGTCACCTGCAGCAGTCATGTCATCCGTGACGCTTCGTGAACCAGCCTCGCAGCGACAAAATTTTCGGATTGCTTACAGTCAGCTCCTGAAGTTTCTGCAGAACCTGAATCTCGCAACAAATAAAAAGCTGTTCGCTTGGAAGGACACCGACTTCGAGCAGCGATATCTCGATGAAAACGACATTCAACCCCTTTCCGAGGAGGCGACGTACTTTCCCCTGGAGCCCGCGGTGCTCTACCACCGCGTCTTGCGACCAGTATACAAGTACATTCCGCCGCGTCAAGCCCGATTTCCCGGGAGAGCTTGTCTCAGTTCTTCTGCTACGCAGTCCGGCGAGCTGCAAGAGCTTGGGGCGCGCCGCGACGAGGACATCAACATCTTCGGCTTGCCTGCGGAGGTACGCAAAATCATCCTGGAAGGTCTGCTCGCCATGTTTTTCTCACCGCACATCGAGGGCGACGAGCGGCCTCAGTGTAGTAGCGACTGTGCCACAGCTTCGAAAGAACGTCATCCCGAACGAGGGCGAGAACGGCGGCTCGTGACAGATGACTATGTGCTGGAGTTGTTTGAAAGGTACGTTTTTCGTCGGCGAAAGGGGGTACACAAAGGCTGGCAAACCTACAGATTCTGGCTGACTCAGGCACAGGTGGACGCGAAAGCTTCCGAACGATTCTGCTTCGAGATCAAAATGCGAACACTGCGTGCGCTATCGGGGTCGGTGGGCCAGTGTCCGAGCTTCGCGACGTTTGCGCGCATCGCCGCAGGCCAGGATCCAGGGTGCAGTGACCCTATGCTTGAGGGGGAAGACGGTGGGAGTGCTTATTCTCGGTACCGACGCGTTTGGGAGTACATGGCCGTAGATCGAGGCGAGCACAGCATGTTTTTGTACGAGGATCCGTTGAGTGTGGGCTCGGGTCGTGGTAACCTGAGTCGCTCTTGCAGCCACCAGCAGCACTTGCAATACCACGAAATGCTAGCGCACCTGACCCAGGATGTATATGGGCGAGAACTGAATATGAATCAGACCGAACATCAACGCGAAGACGACAATTTGGGTTGGGACATAACTGCCGATACATTCCTTCCAATACGGTGCCCAGCTTCTTCGGTTTACGCCGGTCTTCCTATTTTCCAAATTCAAGAAAAGCATTGGAAGGCTGCAATGCTGGTCTTTCTCGAGGAGAAGGTTTTCGCTGCAAACAGGGACGTTTTTGGTAACATGCTAATAAGGCATGGAAATTTTTGCGAAAAGATGCCGCAACGTTTTGACAACCCGGGAGCCGAACCCTTTCTCGACACGGAGTTGCACCAGCTTGGTCTTCTACGTCAGTCTTCGCTAGTGTATGCAAAATGGATTCGCCTTCAGCTTCAACGCCCGCGACCGATGCCTCTTGGACTGCAGCTGCCAGAAAACGCCTCTGTTCTTCGACAGTCCCTCCAGACCCAGTGGCGGGAATCTCTTGTTCCGACTGGCAACGGCATGGACCACCCTCGGGCTGCTCTTTTCCAATGTGCGCCGGGCCGAATCCGTGAGCTGCACTTCAATGTCCCGAAGAAGCTGATGCAGGTGATCTCCTCGATGGAGGTTTTACACAGCTGCGATGCTCGGCTGCGAAGCGTAATCAAAGAAAGCGCATTTCTCGCGCTTGACTTCGTGCCACTGTTGACAGGTCAACACTTTGTCTGTAATCACGCCTGCCGCTACTTGACGATCGGCGTTGGCGGTCACTTCTTCATCTTCGACTTCTTACTGCTGCGAGCCCCATATCTCGATCCAGACGGAGAGTGCTCAGATCCAAAAGGCCTCGACGCGATGCTAGACCGCCTGCGGTCGTGCGTGCAGAGCTACCTTTGTGACGTGAATCCGGAGCTCACTGTGCTGACCTTCGACCTTTGCCGGCAGATGACCGCGGTGTCAGCAGTTTTCGGCCGCGAGCAGCTTTTCTTGCCCCGGTGGATCGATCTCTCGACCCTGTTGAGGCGCGATCTACAGCAACTTCGCATATTACCATCACGACCTGGGCAGATGACCAGTACAAGTGGCCAGAACTTGATATCGTCAGGAAGCAGCAAGTTGTTCAAAGTGAATTTCGATCTTGATCTGAGCAAAAAACTCGAATCACTCACCCCAGGTCCACCTTGTAGAACTAGGAGTTCTTGCGGCATTGTCCAACCACATCGAGAGTCGCAAATTTCCATCGGGACACTTGTGGACCAGTGGTTGGGTCCTCTGTTCAAGCATCGTCCAGGCTACGAACTGGCCCAGGTGGGAAGTAGTCCCAGCTCGATGTTTCCCTGCATCGAAAATCACCGGTCGCGACACGTTCTGGCAGAGGCAGATTCGGCCGTCGCCCCCCGGCTTCTCCGGCACCTCGTCGACCGCGTGCGATTCCTCGAACCCTTGGCGACGGCTATCCTGCGCAGTCTCCCCGCCGACCGCGTGGAGAGGGTTTTTTGGCAGCTCGGAGGGCAGACAAACGCGGCAGTCGGTGGAGCAGCTCCTGCGGTACGAAAGGTAACTACCAACTCTGACCAGGCGAGGACTGCTGGTACAACTACAGCACCATCTTCGTGTAGTACTAGTGCCTTCAAGTTCACGGACGGCTCCGCAGGTGATTTGTTCAAGGCCACGACGAGCACACGCCACCCTCTGGTCTTTCGGCAGATCGGGGACCCGACAGGTACCAATCTCGTCGTCCGGAGACAGCCTGCTGCAACGGACGGAGGCTGCGCAGCGCGGACTGTTGATGCGTTCGCCTGCGCACAGACGCTCCCTCCTCGCCAGGAGTGCGAAATGGCGCATGGAGGAGATGAGTACGAGGAGACCCCCCGAGAATTCGCGGCGCGAACTGCCCGAGACTACGGACTGTGGGTCCATCGGCACGTTGTGGAAGAAGCTGATGCTGAACTTTCGGGGAATAAAAAGCCAGCGAAGATTTTTACTCCTTCAGATGCACTACATTTTTGTACTGATCGCGCATCGACATCAAAACTCTGCCGTTCAGGTTCCAATGCGATAACTCATTCGAAAAAAACAAGTGACACCACCATGACTGTCGAGCCAGAAGCAGAAGGCCTGGACGGTACGATCAACGACGATCCACAGCAGCGCTTCCGGCAGTTTGCGCTAGAAATGGCAGCACCCGAGTCCCCAAAATCATGCCAGTTTGCCGACGCCCGGGAACCAATTCCGAAAAGCGTTCCTTGTGACTCGGAAGTGCGGCAGGTGCGGCACACGGGACGACGAGAGGTTCGCAAAGCCTTACGGATGTTTGGTTCCACGGTGACGATGAGGGCAAATGCAAATCCAAATTGCGCGGCAGGTACAGCTGGTGCACCGACGGCGATCGATTCGAAGCTTTTTCCCTGTAGAAGTACGTACGCGTCGAGAAGTACTTCCGGAGTTCTTCTTGGGCACTCAGCAGCAGGAGACCAGTGCGACGAGGTCGCCTCAGGGTCTGAACCGAAGGACCAGCAAAAGAGCCTTGCTACAAGGACAGGGTACGACGATGTGTTGAGTGGTGTACGTGTAGATGGTAAAGAAGATAGCGCTGATCCTGATGCAGTTGCAACTCATGAATGTCTTTCGACAGAAATAAATCAAAATGGCAATGAGCAAAAGCTCCTAGACGAAGTACCGCCTGAAGATCCTGATTATCCTCTCCTACCACTTCCAATTTCGGTGCACCGGGAAGAAATCGTCCGGAAACTGTGGATGAACACTTCGACCGGAAGACAAGAAGATAGGTCCTCGTGTGCTTCTGCAGCAGGCCAGCACAGCACACGGACGTCCCAAAACCGGTTCTTGCAATCTCCACTGCCGGTTCTCTTCGTGGTTGGCACCACCGGATGTGGAAAAACGACACGCGTTCCTCTGTACACCTTTCTGCACCGCCCGGAAGAAGCCCGGATTCTGGTTCTGCAGCCCCGCCGCCTCGCGGTGCGCGAGTGCTGTTCGCAGATTGCGAAAGACCTTGCGGTAGTGAGAGGAGTGCCAGTAGAATCTATTTTCGGTCGCACCGTCGGATACCGCATCGCGGATGAATCGAAATGGTCAGCCGGCGAGACGAAAATCTGTCTGACCACAACTGCGTTTTTTCTTGAGGAATTCGTGCACAAGTATTTACCGGGTTTGAAGCATGATGCTGAGCTTCCTTCAGTATTATCCGGCATCAAGCGAAATAAACCAAAATCGGCAGGACGAGCAAAAATGGTCTTCCGGGATAAGCAGCAGCAGCTACTTCTATTCCCCTACACGCACCTTCTGATCGACGAGGTGCACGAGTCTTCGGAAGATTTGGAGCTGGTGCTCCTTTGTGTGAAAACCCTTCGGATCCAGATTCCAACCTTGCGTGTCGTCCTGCTCAGCGCGACTATGGAGGCAGGGCTTCTGTGGAAGTATTTTGCGAGCAACGATGATCATGTGATGGTGGAGAAGTTAAGAACAATACCGACGACGGAGTGCATCGTCGTAAGCCGCTCTAACACTTCTCAGGTGGTCCACAACGTCACCACCCTGTACTTGAATTCCGTCCAATCTTTCCCAAAGGCCGTCCGCCCGACAGTGGTGGAATATTTGCAAACGGTAAAGCAGTGGGCAACGGAGGCGAAGCTTACTCATCGGCAGGAAAAGATGAAGCAGAAGGAGCAGCTGCGCGAAAATCTTTATGTTGGTCCTGAACTTCCTCGTGATACTAACTTCAGGTCGCACATGAGAGACCTTCAACCTGCGCCAAATAACGAGAGAAACTGGGAAGACGTTCTTGCAGGCCAGCTGTCCGCAACGAGATCGCGCTTGGCTGACCTCGTCGTCGGAATTTGTCTCGCCGAGCTAACGAAGAAGACGCTTCCATCTGGCAATGTGCTTGTCTTTCTACCGGGGTTGGCACAGATCCGGGACGTCAACGCGGAACTGCAACGCCGCCTGCAGTTGCACAGCATCGCCGTTCCAAGCCTGCTTTCAACGCGGGTTTTCACACTGCATTCCGATCTTCACGTTGACCGTGAGTGGTCACAGGATTTTCTGATCCAACATTTACGGGTGCGCACCGAAGAGGAGAAGTCACTGCTTTTGAATGATTTTATGTGTTGTCCGATTTTTGGTCAGAACGACGATCTTCATTTTCCTAGCACATTCAGCCGCAGCTTCACGTGGAAAGTAGTAGACGGTGATAATGTAGAAGATGCGGAGGTTCTTGTGCACATCAACGCCGACGTTGATGCTATCATCGACATCATTTGCAGTTCTACTTGTTCAAAAATATCTACTCACGTCGACCATGAGCCGGATATAACAGCAGCAGCAGAACCACGCCGCGCAAGAACTGCGGATAAGGCTGTTCGCAACAGAGGTGCACCATCGGTGCGTAGCAGGAAGAACAGGTGCAGACCAACTCGCTGGGGAGATCTTCGCGTCCCTTTCTCACTCGTAGTCAAGCAGCCGAATTGCAGGAACGTGTTTCTTGCCACGAATATCGCCGAAACTTCTTTGACAATTCCCCACGTGACCGCCGTAGTTGACGCCGGTTTCTCACGACAGGTGCAATTCGATCCGTCCACGGGGCTGCGTGGGTTGCGGACCGTCTGGGCAAGCCAAACCTCGGCCGAGCAGCGTCGCGGCCGCACTGGTAGAACCTGTTCTGGGGTTTGCTATCGACTGTACCCCGAGAGCATTTACCGAGAGGTGATGCCAAGTAGGCAAGATGCGCGTTCTTGTTCCACTCGGGAGCAGCGTAACGCAGTACTATGCTCGGCAAAGTTTCTTCTCCGGCTGGAAAGTCTGCATGATTGGGTCTTTGCGGTGAAGCGACGAAAGCTTGGTGCGCGGAGCATGCTGCGGCCGTCGCACTTTCCGCAGGCGCGGGCACGAAAATCCGTTCAACCGATGGCTCACGAAGCAGGCGGCGAGAAATCTACAGGTACGTCCCGACCTGTGCCGCCGGTGGGAAAAAATGAAGTTCTCGACCAGCGATTTCCCTCCAGACTTTGCCGCGTGGCCATGGAGCTCTTCACCACGCCACTGCGGGAAGCCCTCTTGCGTCCCCTAGTGTATTACCAATCGCTTGGCCTGCTGCAGCGCGTCGTGGGTGGACGAGTAGGAGAAGACGATAGCGAGTGCACTTTGCGGAGCCGCCCGAAAACGAAACCAGTTCCTCCTGGATATAAAAGTGCGGGTATCATGACTGCCGAGGATCACAAATCGCAGAAGATTATAGCCGAGAAAATAAATAGCACTCTGTTCTCCACACATTCGTCTAAGACCACAAACTTTCACGTTGATTACCAGGTAACGCTGCTTGGACGTTTTTGCGCAACGCTGCCGTTGGATCTTTCAGGAGCTCGCTTCCTGCACGTCGCCATTTTACACAAGCACGTCGGGATGGGGTTGCTGCTTGCAAGTGTCGAAGACTGCTTTCCGGACGGCTGGTCTTCTCCGAGTGCAAATTCAGAGGTGAAAGCACGGTCGTCCTCGGAGTTGTCCTCGGATAGCGCTACCAACTGTGGGGAAGATAAAGAAGATTCTGCAAGAACTACATCGAATTCAAACGCGTGGAGTGACTTTGAGCCACTGCTTCGCGACCTGCACAATGCGCTTTACGACTTTCACCTCTGGACGCTGTCTCTGCCGCCTCAGGCTGCTGTCGAGCCCAGGAAGGACGGTCGTGCCCGCACAAAAAACGTCGAAGCTGCCGTGGCGTCTTCTGCGGACCGTCCGTCTGCCCCCAGCGGCACCACCACTGCGAGGACTCATGGCGATCTATTGCAGAGGTATTTCGGAGGCGCCATTCTCGATGGTTCTTCACAAACAACTTCAACTCAAGGAACGTATAGAAGCTTTGACTCACGTCATGATGTAAGAGAATCCTCCTCAATAGTGAAAAATAGTAGTTCTCGGCGACATCTTAAACCTGATCTTTTTCTGTTGTGTTTCAAGCGAATGCGACGCGTGGCACGGGCTTTGCTGACCAATAAGCTATGTGCTGCCCCCGAGGCAGAAAGAATCTTGCAGCACTTCCTCAATGTACTCGAAAGCGGCAGAAGCGGAGCTCTCACCGCAGCGGCACTGTGGCACGCGCTCTTTCCCGAGGCTGGCTCTGGCTGCGCGTCCGAAGAAGGAGTTTTAAGATGGCGTATGCCCTCACCCAGAGCGTCGACACCATTTCGCTGTAACGACAATGAAGCGTTTCAATTTCAAGTCAACCGGGAGAGCCTTGCTGCGCTGCTTATATCGGCTTTTCCTGAGCGTATGATGATGGGCCAAACTCTGGCGACCGTCCAGCCAGCGGGACAGGAAAGTTACGAGAGCATGCGAAAGATTATCGAAAGTAGGTGCCCTGGAGAGAAGATAAACGCGATTACTTCATGCTGGAAAGACATGGTGCAGATCCCGCTCGGAAGTGGGACTGCTGGAAGCCAGAACGCATGGCCCGTGAAATGGCTTTATCAACGGTCGTCTTCGCACTCAGATCATTCGTCGTCGAAGCAAAAGCATTCTCCTTTAGTGGATGCAGCGAGGAGAAGTTTATTTTTCGAAGACTCAATGCGGCAGAATGAGTCACTCTCCCAGCTCTTCACGGATTCAGGGTATCGCGTGCAGGGTGTATACGCTGACATACAAGGGCCGGGCGACATAATTCGACGGAAAAATCGGAGGACCGGGAAAACATCATGCGAGGAAGGCATTAATACTGTCGACACAGCAGCTGCACAGAACTTTCTTTATCTTCACGTCGTCCCGAAGATGAGTGGAACAAATGCTTCTCGTGCACGTCCGACGTATGAGGAAAATCATGCGCCGCCGTCACACGGGTATGCTGCAGCTCTTGCAGCTGCAAGAGCTTTACAAGCAGATGGCACCAGCGAAGGGGCCGCCTCAGTCTCGACACAATACGCACTGGAGATTCTCATTCCGGAGTACGAGGGCATGAATCCGAAGGCTCGGCTTAAGATACAGCATCCGCTCCAGGTGGAGTGGATTTGGACGCCGCAGAGCTTCATGGCGCGGTGGAGCACTGAAGCAAAGAAAGGAAACGGGGCTGAGCAACCCAATTTGTTTTTCGTGGCAGAGGCAGCGGGAGGTCCGATAAGCAGCATCATGCATCGCTACTTGCTTTTTCCTGAAGTGGATTCATCCACCGAATGCTCCACCGACTTCTGCGGTACGCAACAGGACCCTGACGACAGACAGCGACTTAATAATGGTACTCACAGTGCGCTGTGTGACCGACCACCTCTTGTCCACGAGGACGGTCTTTTCGAAGAGAAAACCCGTGCCGCAACTGGAGACAAGAGCAGGACCAATCATCTGCGCTTCGACCACCGGGCTTCATGTGGCATACCTCCGCAGGACGGGAACGGGTCTTGTCGAGTTCACTCGACGATGACGAAAGACCAAGCCGAAGAACTCGTCGACGAACAGGACCAACAAGTCGTGCGCGCGAATCCAAAGGCGTATTGCGTCCCCTGGAGTATTGTGCAGGACGAACACCGACACCGGGTTTTGTTTCGAAACGCGACTTTGATGCCTTCCGAAAACTTCGCGATCCTCCTGCAGCTGGCAAGTACACCGGTGTTTCAGTACGGAGTGACCGTTCTTGTGCATGTGCAAACGGCAATGGTACCTTACATCGAAGTAGTGGACTATCCATTTGTTGTGTTGAGTAGAACACATTCATCGCAAGGATTTCCTCATCGTCGCAAACATGTCTTCACAAGGAGGCCATCATCATGATTTCATCCTCTTCTCCAAAAAGATAAGACTCATACTCATCTCGCTCTCGCTTCATAATTCGCTACAGGCGCCATCCTTTTCTGAAAAAGCCATTCCGCTGCGCGTAATCGGTCTCCGGTATGGTGCGACTCAGATGCCAATCCTGCTGGAAAGAGAGCTTACCATCGCTCAGCTGCATTTGGTGAATCGAGTCCGGAAGTTTCGTGCTGTCGGGATGACACAATTTTGCCGATCACGAAGACAATCTTCCTTTTCCGCAGCGCCGGCGGGGAAGGACGAAGCCTCCTGCCTTCAAGATCTGATGCGAGCCTGCTGTCGTAAAACCGACAGTGCAAGGTCCTCGGGTTCCAGGACCACTTCTCCTATGAGGACCACTCAGCTGCGCAGCACGGATCTGGTCTACGAGGTTGCCTTACTTCCGCCCACCGAGGAGGCATTTGCCATGCTGCAGCTGGAGCATCTGCGTCCTCCGAAGCTGCCGTCGTGCAGCCACGCAGGCGGTGGTATTCATATTCTGGATCAGGCCTCAGTGCTGCTCGAGGAGGTTCTGGACAAGCGGCCGCGCTGGAGCCGCACGACCGTCTTTGATGACCGCAGCTGCCGTGATGTAGCAGAGGGGCAGGTGCACCATGAAACCGATAGCGAGAGCAGGAGAGATACAATGCTGGCCAGGCATCGCGTGCGAGGACCTTCAAAAAGCTTGTTGTCGCTTCGGCCCAGTCGCGCATTCGTCCAGAAAAGCTTCTCAGCGATTCTGTGTAGCAACGAGGCCTTTTGCGCTGGAATAACACCGAAAGACAATATTTTTGCGCCAGACTACAGCAGCACTAGTGAGCCAGATCTATCCACCTCTAGCGACGACGAAACCTCCACAGCTATACGAGCTGCACAGACGAAGCACCTCAGTTCCGGGGGACTTCGTCGGGGAAAGCGAGTTCGCGCAGACCACTCCTCGGAGTTTGATAGTACCAGCGAGGTTCTACTTCCGGCTGCGAAGGAGTTTTTAACTTCAAACAGAGCGGATTTACACGACACGCGGTTTGTCGCTCCTCGCGAAATTTCCGGATACGGGCCAGACGACGTTCCGAGCGAGCTTCTCGAAGCAATCGACACTGGAATGGCGAACGCTGACGGAGGTGGCAATGACCCGCGTCTGAAGATGAGCGAACAGCGCAGCAACGTTCATTTTTTCGTGCAGAAAAGTCAAATCAACGAAAATCATAGAAGTGGAGCTGCGAGGAGAGGAACACACCAGAAAAACTATACCACACAACAAGAGCGCTCGCCGTTCCTGCAGGCCTTGACCCAGAACCGAGTCGTGCTTCTCGAAGGTGCCACTGGGAGCGGAAAGAGCACCCTGGCACCGCTGATTTTGGCGCACCACCAACTCCAAGTGCGAAAAATGGCATGTCGCATTGCAGTCACGCAGCCGCGGAGAGACTCCGCCCGCGAGTGCGCCAGACGGATCAACACCGTTTGCGGAGTCGAATGGAACTACCGGGTTACGTGTGGTAGCGGTAAAAACCACTTCCAGAGAAACAAACATACGAGGTTTCTTGCAGGAACTACAACAGGAACAAATCAAACGCAACACCACCCGGTCGCGACGTATCAAATTTCTCAAGATGACCAGGACATGGGCGGGACAAGTCCTATCGTTTTTTACACGGTGGGCACGCTGAAGCAGAAACTGCTTCGAAATCCGGATCTTATCCGCGAATACAGCCACATCATGCTGGATGAGATCCACGAGCGGTCGTTTGACCTGGACATTTTGTGCTTCCTGCTACGGGCCCTGCTGAGCGACCCCTCGCTGTGCCACACGCGACTAGTCCTGATGTCCGCGACGCTGGAAGCTGTGCGGGGTGTAAAGCGCTATTTCGCGCCACTCGGGTATGTTTTGACGACCAGCGACGAAGAAGACTTGTTTCGATCCTGTGCAAAAACGAATAAACCTGAGGAGGTGCTCGATTTTGAGATGCAGTCGAAGAAAAAACGACAGACCACGGTCTCGTCAACGTCTTCCAGTCGGGAAAAAGCATCGTCCGCGACCAGCAGTCCGGTAGTGCGGGTTGCTGGGTCGCATCCTTTTCGAATCGACGCGCTGCACCTGGAAGACCTGTTGTCGCTCCTGCCGCAGACCTCCCTCGCCCGGGAAACGAAAATAAAGACGAAGAAGGCTGTAAGTACCGTCGCCGATGTCGTGTGGAGTTGCCTTCAAGCCTTTATTACTCAGTCAGAAGCCGCCAGTGCAGACGGCGCGGCTCCTGTGCGGGTGGAGGATGCGGATGAGACGGGCTCTGCTGCCGCCGAAAGTACTGACCTTGCCGACCTGGAGGAAGCGGAAGGGGTATCGTCTACTAATTTGCCGCCAGATCATGATCTACACCGCGACAATGCGCTGGAGAAATGCCCTTCCGTCGGTGCATTAGCAGATTTGGCAAAACGCGTGAGTAGGCTATCATGTCGTGCCAACACCTCTCAGAACAATCCTCATATCGACCCAGCGGAGGACGAAAAAATGCCCGCCATTCCACCATTCGCATCTTCGGAGCGGTTAATACAGCGTCTACAGGTTTATTTTCTGCACTTGCTTGTGCCAGTTTTAGAATCACTAGTCGAAAAATACCTGTCAATATGCCGCGAAGAAGGCGGCAAGATCCTGATCTTTTTGCCGACCATGGGCATGTTGCAGCGGTGCGAGCAGTTGCTTCGCAAGAGTTCGTCTTTCTTTCTATCCGGAAAAACAAATGATGGGTCATCCTGTTTTGCAGATCTGAACATTCAGCACACCCTGTGCCACCGCGACCTTGCAGAAGAGGCAAACCATGCACGCTACCGTATCCTGAGTCAAAGCGTCTCCACTGATCTCATTCCCATCATAACAAAGAGGCACAATTTTGGAGATTCAAGAAACAACTAACTATCCCGTTTTCTGTGCTGCACAATTCCAAAGCCCCACGACGGTCAAATCATTCCCCCAAAAAACGTGCACAGAAGAATCGCTTACAAAACAGGAGGGTAGCTGCTGGCAGCTGGCGAGCTCTAAACGCATGTTGGCGCTATTGTGAAGAAAAAGTTGGCAAACTATAAATGCATTGTGGCACACGCAGATAAATTTCCTTTGGCAATGCTGGCCAGCTATACACGCATGTTGGCAAGAAATAAGTGAGGCAAAGCTGGCGAGCTATAAACGCGTGTTGGCGCATAGATTTGGCAATGCTGGCGAGCTATAAACGCATGTTGACAAATAAGTAAGTGTGGCAATGGCAAAGCTGGCGAGCTATAAACGCGCGTTGGCAAATAAGTGTGGCAAAGCTGGCGAGCTATAAGCGCACGTCGGCAAATTAATAAGTGTGGCAAAGCTGGCGAGCTATAAACGTATGTTGGCGAGTACGGTGCTAAGTATAGCAAAAGTGCCCGAGGGTGAAGACGACGATGCTCATTAGCGTGGTCCGTCTGACTCCGTGCTTTGGAGGCCCAACCATCTGCGGAAGGGGAACTTGCGAGGCACGTTTGTGGTGTCGGTCGATTTAGTGTGACTAATTATCAGACTAACTAAGGTTCGGAAATGGTTCTTACAGGGCTGCGGATAAAAGTATAAGAGAGAAGCTGGACATACAGATTTGCATGAAAAATATGTATATGGTGCTGGAACTTCGGCTTCCGCCTGACCTACCTTGCCTGCGTCACAGCCATCTTTGGCCGTTTGCAGGGTGTACGGCAAAGTGCACCGCACTTGCTCTTGCACTTCTGTTTAGCATGACAAATATTTTCGGGTGGGGACGTTTTTTCACAGGATATACCGTCCGGTCCCGCCCGGAACCGTGCAACTGCTGCTTGCAACGAACATCTGCGAAACCGGCGACACCTTGCCACAGCTGCTGGCCGTGGTGGATCTGGGCTTACAACTCCACCGGCGTTTCGACTTGCGACTCGGGACGGAGCGGTCGCAGTTGCGGTGGGCTACGGCCTCGGCCATGGACCAGCGGAAAGGGCGAGCCGGCCGCGTCCAACTGGGAACTTGTGTGCGCCTTTTTCCGAAAATGCTGTACGACCACCTTCGTTTGACTGGAGATTGCGGCGAACTGGCCGACCTCGACTTGCGACGCGTTTTGCTCGAAGTGGAGCACGCACGCAGGAGCCTGGCGAGAAAAATAATCTTGGCGGACGACAAATCTACTTCCGACTCGGGCAGCATCAGCAGCTCCGGCGAACAAGATTCTTGGTGCTATCCCGGCTTTATCGACGTTGTTCATCGCGGGTCGACATCAACTAAACGGGTCTGCACGCACTGGGCAGCAGCGGACTCGTGTTGGAAGTTTCGGCCGGTAGAAGTAGGTGAAGAGACTACAACTGGGAATGCGAATGAAACCTCCACGACAGCATCAGCGAGCGCGTTCGACCATCACCTCGCGCAGCTGCCGGCCCCACCCAATCCAGGACTGGTTCCGGAGGCGGTGCTGCAACTGCGCCGCCAACTCTTCCTGGATGACAACAGCGAGCTGACACTTCTTGGTCTCGTAGCGATGCACCTCCCCGGAGCGCCTCTCGCGGCCGCTTCCCTCGTTTTCCTGGGATGGGCGATGGATCCTGACCTGCACGACCGCTTTCGCGAAGCGGTGGTTCTGGCGGCTTGCATCGAACAGGAGGACGATCCGCTACATCAAGGTCTTCCACCTCGCTTGGGCGGCACCAGCTCAAGCAAATCCGGTAATTTAGTCCCGACGATGAAAGGTCTCCGAGCGTTCCACAAGGCGCTGGAGTACCGTTTTGACTTAGACGGTGGCAGCTTTAGCGATTCGCTCACAACCTTCGAACTGTATCGGCTTGATTCGCAGCTAAACTCCGTGCAGTGCGACAAGAAACGCTATGAAGCGTGGCGCCGCACCTTGTCGCGAACCGCGGGAAATGCCTCGAGGCTCATCGATTGGGCGTCGGCCGGGCCGGGTTGTGGACGCGGTCTCGGTACAGGACGCCATCCTGTGTCGTATCCCCAGATCAACAAATTTGCTTCCGGAAGTAGACCACCCGAAGGAGGTCGTGTTGAAGGTTCTGCCGTGCTAGCTCGCAAATTTTTGCTCGGAGTCGGATTGGCTTCTCTTTCCAATGCCGTCGTCTATGGACGAGTCGATGTGGATTTTGCGGCAAGAGAATTTGCTTTGAACTTTTTATCCAACTACGCTCGAGCCCCGACAACTATTTTCCGCAGCCCGCTAACGGATTCGTCTCGTGACAGCAACGAAAAATTTGTAAAAGCCTTGAAACGCGAATTGGGAACAACTACATCATCTTCAGGTCAGGATTTACAAATCCTCGAAGACTATGTTTCTTTTGGGAACTACTCGGATCTCGGCTATGGCCCCTCAAACTTGCAGTGCTTTTTACGCGCCGGCCGTGACAGCAGCGGCGTGGCTCCTGGGCCTACAGGAGGGCTTGTACGCTGCCCAAATTTCTTTCCACCGATCGCCGAGACACTGGCTCGGCTACCGAAATTTCTTTCCCACTCTTCTGCGTGCGGCAACGTGTTGAGGGACGACCAAGACAGGCTATATGCGTTCAGCGGGGGCTCCATATCCCCACTCATTCCCCGCTGGACCTGGTTCAACAATGCGGTCAGGGGCTTTCGAGGTGAAAGAATGACGACATCGCCCTCAGTGCCGCCAGCTGCGGCTGTGATCTGTTGTCGTGAAAGTGAAAATCTCATCTCTACTGATTCCGGTATGTCCGTCCAAATCCTCCCCTCGAGAACGGATGACCTCGCCGGTGCAAAACCAGCAGGACGAAATGCTCCTGCGCAGCGCGACGCGGTGTTTCCTTGGGCGTCTCGCCTTCGGACGTTTGTACCATCTACCAGACCGGATTCCTCTGACCGCCTCACGCAACGCCTTCTCGGCCGTGCCCCGCCGCCCCCCGTGGACGAGTACTCGCACATTGCAGTTGGTGCTGACGTGCTCGACGAGGGCTCGAAAATCAAAGTGCTCGGCGCGACACTCCTGCCAGCAGGCCGAAGTTGGTTGTGGCTGCTTGCGAGTGGGCACTTCGGCGAGGATGTGGTACTTTTTATCCGACCACCGCCTGCAGCTGGTGTAGAAGATGAATACGATTTCACGGTCGTCGGGTTGCAGACCTCCGACGGCGGTCAAAAATTTTCCTTCGCAGAGGAAGACTATTTCGGCAAGAATGGTCTGCAGAATATCAAAAAGTTCCGGCGTCTGTACCGCCAACTGGTCTTCCTGGCCCCGGGGCGGCACCCCGTGACGGGCTCCGCTTGTCTTCCAACCGGGGAAGGGTGTCGCTTGCTGAGAAGAGAGCTTCGGGAAGTCGCGCAGAACCTGATGATGTACTACCCACGTGAAGACCGGGTTCTTGCTCCTGCGGAGGGTGGTCGCAATTCGGAAAGGCAACGAAGTGAGACAGCGCAGCTGCCTCTGGAAAGGAGCAATATGCCGGTCACGATATCGCTATCGAACGATCCGGACTGTCTGGGCATCAGGGAGCAGCTGCTCATAGTCGAAAACAAAACAACCGGTCGAAAGAGATAGACCTGGCGAACAACAAACGACGACACTAGTCTGTCCTATTCCATAGATATCCATTGAGGTGGTGGTCTCAGGTACTACATCTTCAGTGCCTGTGTCTGGTTGAGTGATGTTTGAAGCACGAAAAAAATGAAGGTGATTATCGGTCAATGGTATCGCGTCACTCATCACTTTCAGCCTGCCGACCGCTGTACGGTGTCTTTTTTTCAAGAGTAGTTGATAGCAAAACCAAAACCTCCAACATGATCCATTCACAATTCTCGTAGAACCACAGCACGACCACCAGTTCTCGGGCACGTCCTGTGAAAACCTGAAATTCGATCAAGCGTTCGACTGCTTGTAGTCCCCTTGTGTTTTTTCTCCATTTCCCTGCGGACCACGTGTAGAAAGTGTAAAAGACGAGCTAGTGGCGAATGGAATGGATCATCCTTATGTTGCGTTGACAACGTCGGTCTTTTTTTTTTAGCCTCCTGTTCTTTCACGATTGATAGAGGTTTTGCTGCTTGACACAAAAACTACTAGAGCACGCTGAGAAAAAAACCAAAACAAATGATTCGTGTACTTGAACTTGTTGACTAGGCGTACTAGGCCGGATGAATATAAATACCTTTTCAAGATGAAGTTTTCCCCCACCAGTTGCTCACATCTCAAGATGTCGCCCCTGCCGACCAGCACAAGCAGACACCTCCACCTCCAGCACCTTCGCCGCGGCTTCGCCCAGATTCCCAGCCTACATGTCTCGCGCAAACTGAGTGACATCGTAAAGCTCCCGTTGCTGCAGCGCGAGTCTCCGCAGAAGGTGCGCGAGGTGTGGTTGTCGCATGATAAACCCAGGATAATCAACGGCGTCCTGGCTGCATATGGTAGGGAAATTTGAATTTCGCGTCTTCACGGCAAATTTACATGTGCACAGCTCGTAACTGTACGACGTGAGTAGGGATGTTTTTCAGAGAATAATTTGATTTGATCTAGTTGTATAGATTCTTTTATGTAGTGTGCGTGCGCGACTTACTTTTATATCCCAGACGGATTGTACTGCAGCATGCAATTATTTGGGCGTCATGACTCGAAATTTCCAAATAATTCTACTCCGGAATGGCGCGCATCCGCCGCCAACGCAAAAGCCGCGCCATTATTCGTCGTACCTGTGTATCCAGACCCAGCAGTTACTTTGCACTCGACCAAACACGTAGATGGAACCGGTATCCACAGTGAATTTCCCGTACACAACGACGACGACGTACAAATGTAACTTCCGCATGACAAACTTTTCCTTCAAGTTCAAACCTCTTCAGCATGACAATTTGTTTTTATTTAAGTTGGTGAAATTTGTGATGAATTATCTCATGAAATTCATGACATGAATGTCGATGTCCGGCTCCGGGAAATTCAAATTTGTGATGCATAACCGCAACCACGACGCAGCAGTCTAGTGCCAGCTTCACCCCCGCGTCGGCAGCATCTTCCACAGCTGGGTATTACAACTTGGTGAGCGAATGGCAGGACGAGGAGATCGTGTTGACCTTCTTGGACGACTACCAAAAAGACGCGCGCAACGCGGTGCCCTTTATGGTGGTCAACTTTTTCACGGAGCTGCTGTCGTCCCACAACTTGGTGCTGCTCCGGGCCGACATCGTGAACAGAAACCTCAGCCGCAAGCAGGGCGCCTTGGCCGTCAAATTTCTGCGGGAGGCATACGCTCGAGTGGACCGGTTTGAGTGGGTGCAAAAGTTCAACCTGCGTCCCCGCGAGTTCGATTATCGCGCTTTCGAGTCTTGGTGCAGCAAGATCAAAGCCGAGGCGTGAGTCGGTCTTCGCCGCAGCGTTCGGTGACGGAAAAACCGCGGCCACAGCTTGCGAAACGGCACGACGGAAATTGGAGAAACAAAAAGCAGGTATTTAGGCCCAGTGATGCGCAAGCTCGGCGGCCGGGTGCATGACGCTTTATCAGATTTCGTAAACGGTGGAAGCACGTCCTCGTGTACCGGCGGTCCTTTCAGTTCCCGTGATCCTGATCTGCACAGGCTCCGCCACGATTGTACTTTCTTCTGGTCTACTTCACGTGCCAAGACAAGTACTCATCACGTACGATGTGCACGTCAACAGTTTGCTGTCAGTACTTCCTTGCTTTAATTACCTCTAGCTGTTCGTAATAACAATGAGTATTCAGGAGCTGCACCCGTTCGTATTCATTAAGATCCTGTGGGCGGCCTGAGGCTTCGTTGTTTGCAATACCTAAATCTCGTAGATCACCACTCGTTTCGCATAAGAGAGTGAGAGAAGAACTCGACAGAGTGGAGTTGACCGTGGAGTGAAATTTCCGGCTATCGCCAGATTCGCATGGGCGCAGAGTCACTCGTCAATCGTCGGGTCGGTTTACTTTTTTCGTTGCTTTCTCGGAGCACTTCCCTTGGCTTTGAGATTGAGCCGGACGGAGAGCCAACTTTCTCAAGCTCGATCGATGTTGTATTACATTATCCAGGAACAAACCCGAAACAACGCAACCTATAAATCAAAACCAACAGGAGCCACGACAGGGTGGTTTAGTGGTCTTTTTTTGTCTATAATAAGAACCAATTTTTGTACTTGTACTTCTGGGGAACGGGAACAAGAAGAAGTTTTGAATATATAAATTTAAAGGAATTATTGACACCCTACCGAACTCGTTCTTTGCCCGTACCGAACTCGGCTCCCCGTAGTTTTCCATGGAAAACTAAAGGAGAGTGTTTGAGACTCTAAAACACAAACCACAGTAGATGACTAGAACAGCATCACGAGAATACCTTAATTTTAAAACTTTTGCTTGAAGCAGCACAGACACCGTATTTCTTAATTCATCGCACTCTCAAAATGTCGGAGCCTGAAGATTCATGGATGAAACAATACGATGTGATGGTGCAGGACGGGCGAGGTGCAATCTATTGCACGAAAACGCACGTCGAGGAAATCACGAACTGGTGCGCCGCGGCGATGTTGTCTCTGCAGGACAAGGACAAGAGGGTTGCGTTCAACGCGGTCGCCGAAAACGCAAGCAGACTCGTCCGCGACCTGCTGGTAGAGTACCAGCGCCACATCAAGATTGTGGACAAGAACGGTCAGGAAGTTAGGGGACCTCCTGACGCTTTCAACGTCGAGCTGGCCGCACTGGCCCCCAGCTTAGCGAAAAAGACGTGGACGACCCAGACAACGGGGTCGTCGCCCGGCGCGCAGGATGATGAAATAGAACCGGTCATACGGGCGGACGCGGTGGAGTACAAGCACGACAAAGACAAAGAGCCGACCAGAAAGACAACATTAAAGGCGGTTGTCCTCTTGTCGCAGGAGCTCGGCAAGCAGTTGAGTGTTGTTTGCAACATGTACGAGCAACTACAGTGTGCGGTGACGAAACTGCAAGAAGAAGACGCATTGGTCGATCGTGCAGCTCCTACAGCAAGCCATCAGGGTGGGAGTCAGATGATTTATATTTGTTTTGTTTCATGTTTGAATACGTCGTCAACTTGACAACTTCGATTCCGATTACTGATAATACTGTGGCAAAGGGGGTATTAGAATCTATCTTTCCTATTACGACCAAGGCACAATGAATGGAATCAACCATACTCGTCTTTTCCCAGTCATCATAACCATTTTTCTCATCCAGGTTCTTCTGATGATCGTCGTGATCTTGGAACGGACAACGTGCTCTTGGTGCAGGGAGGTTCGCCGTCGCGAACAAAGAAGGGTGGTCTCAATCTGCCTAGTCCTGACCACAAAAACGCGGTTGCACTAGAATTACCGCAACCATCCATGGCCGCCTCTCATTGCCGCAATGTGCCGGAAAGTGGTATTTGCTAGTGGCAGCGTAGAATTTTCCGTTTGCTGGAGGGACAGTCGCAAGAGGTTTTGTCCGCATTGTGGCCTTGAGGCTTTTTCATGCAAGGGAATGTTGATCTTTCATGATACTTTTTTTTCTACTCAATTCACCATGTCCTCAGGTAAACACCCCGAAATTCTTTCGGAAGAAGAACCGATTGCGTCGAAAGCAGCAGGAATAGGGTTTGGGCGTCCAAGTGAGAGCGCTTCTGACGACTCGCACAGCTCCGCCGATGACGAGGTGGATCAAAGGATCACCGGGATCACACTAGGTATTCTGCAATATTTTCTTCACTGTAATGATGGATTTGGATTTTCGTCAAAAGTGGCGTGAACAACGCAAAATGAAATTTAAATTGTAAATTGTCCTTTCCTTATTCTTATTTAGCTCTATAAATTACTTCTTCACAGACTGTTCATTCTCGAACTCGGAGGGTCCATCGCGTTAGAAGAATCAAAAAAATAGAAAAAACAGCCATTAGAAGCGACATGACATAAAGAACGCACAGCCACAAGAACCCTACAACCCTACAAGGTGCGTCGAAGAGGAGAACCGACGCACCGTATAGCCCGGACCCGGACTGGAATTCGCCGGCCCAACAGCAGCAAACCAGGTTTCAGCGGAAGCGCATCAAGCCCATGAAATACTATGCGAGCTCATCATCCGCCGTTGCAAATAAAACCCAAGGGATGACTGATCAGGAGGACAAAATGAACACAGTCAAAACAAAGCAAAATAACACGACCTCCTCCGCCTCGAGCAATCTGAACCTGAAGTTATCCGAGTCAACATTAGCACAACCCGCGTTCGTCGGGCAGCCGAATAATTCCGGTGATATTCCGGGAAGTGCGTTTTTGCCGGAGAGTCGAGACTACAGCAACAAGAGCGGCTTGAAAGGAAGGACACCTACGACCCGCACGACTTCGCAGCCCTTGTTTGGTTGCTCGTTGTCCTCGCACCTGCAAGACCCAGCTGTCAGTAACGCAAAATCACAAAATTCTCCAGAACCTGGCCACGTCATCCCACCCGCACCATCTGCGGAGCAACCAGCAAGAGCTAAAGACTTTGCGGCTATTGCTGCTGAAATCGACGACATGTCCTTGCTGCCCCCGGAGTCGGGCAAGATGACGAAAACGCAGGCCGGGAACGGGAAGAAACCGGCGGTGGCCGAAGCTGAACCAGGGCACCTCGTCGGGGAGATTAAAAACAAAAACCAAATCGAGAAGATGAAGGAGGACACGATAAAGCAGACACCAATTGGTCAGATTACCGATCCGGCAGCAGCAACTCTGAAGGAAGAGGGCGTTGACAAGGAGGGCAACAAAGCAACGTCCACCTCGGGTAAAAGCAGCACTGGCCTGGAAGAGTCCCAAGCAGTCGGGCCCGCAGCTACTGGGAATAAGAATAACCACAGCGCCATCTTAGACGCCCCGAACGCGAACGACGAAATTCAGCAAGTGCTGGCAACGGAACAACAGCTCATCAAAACGTCCGTGGACGCAATATTGGCAGAGTACAACAATGGGGGCATCCCACAATCACTGGGCGAAGGTTCCTTCGGCCAGGTTATGCGGGTCTCTACGGCGGAAAAAGGAGACGTGGCAGTCAAGCTGACAAAACTGCGGAGGGGTTTGCTTACGAAAGTCGGGAGGGGCACCCAGAGCGAAGTGTGGGATTTTTGCGGCAGCACGGAGCGCAGAGAAGTCCTACGGGAAGCTGTGTTGATGGACGACATGCATACGATCAAAGACGAGCTAACTGCACTGGGACGCTACTTTCCAGATTCTTTACAGACCTCGGTGCTGCCAGCCACACTCTATTTCTGTGAAGCAGATACAGCTACCTGGATGGAAATATTGGTATAGAAGAATTTACATGTTTTACCTTCTCCACCATCTTCACCCGCGTGCAGCGGAAGAACCGTATCTGTAGTAATGCTGTCTACAAATAAATGCGAGACATTTATATATTCTTGTTCAGCGGGACCTTCACAATTTCACGACCATCAAATTAAAATACTGATTCAGGTGTTGGTCCTGCCGCTTGTAGACGGACTTCTGAAGCCCGGCGACGCGTTCCTGGCGCAACTCCGTGAATTCGAGGAGCAGGTGGCCGGCAGTGGTCTAATCGCAGTGAGAGAATGGGTTCACGCTCTTCTCGACGCACTCAACTGGCTTTTTCAGAGCTGCGAAGGAGTTCATTTCGACCTGTGCTTTGAAAACATTCTCACCAGTGTCAAGAGCACCAGTAATACACAAATGGTAAGAAAAAATTGCAGTAGAGATAGGTGATTTTTGCGTCTACTGTGTTAAAAGACTTCTAGGATGCGCCGTCGCTCGTCATTCAATTGCGACGAGCATGTCTAGTTTCGTGTGTCATAATTCGTGAAGATGAACTTGATTCGGTTTAGCTTTAGAATGATCTTGAAGCGGCTTCATTAACAACATCTGGAAAAACAGGTCGGCGGAAAAACGCTAGTTCCAAAGTTGTCGGATTTTGGAAAAGTTCGACGAGTAGGATCCAACGGGGACGGAGACGTTTACGGCAACTCCGACAACGCGGGGGCTTCGCGTTTAACACCGAAATCCCGCCGCCCGAACGTCACGGCGACGACCGACTTTCCAGCATTAGCCCTCGCAATGTGTGAGATGATTGCTGGTTGTATCGTGAGAACGATTCCCTGCCACAGGCATTCCCATTTTGTTTTTGGGGAATTTTTGTCGGTGTAAGCATGAGAATTAAAGGTCGTGTCGCCGGTGGACAGTGCGCCCACTAACTTTCGGCCAATGCAAAAAAGGATGCCGAAAGCTTTAACTTCTTGATAGAGCATATAAAAGCGCCAGACCCGCGACAGTTTCTTTGTGTTCGTATGTAGCAGAGTGTGTTTCCTCACGATAGCCATCCATATCGTAGAATATTTCAGCTTTGAAACGGGTCACGCCGCGACATACGCAACACATGGCGCAGCAATTCGGGCGGTGGCGGCCGGATTACAATCCGTGCCAACGGAAATACCGCTGACAGCAGCCGAGCCGCAGGTACTCGACAATACGGCGAACGTGGAGACCGTTAAAACTATGAATTGCAAACAAATCTTGGTCTGGAAGAAAAACACTGAATTTCAAATGCAATTCCAGGACGGCGCGTTGACACTCATTCATACCTATCATGGGTGATCGTCGGGCCAAATCCAAGAAATGCAGAATGCCTGATCTTTTAAAAAGCACAGAGATTTTTGTCCTGACGACGGACAACTTCGCATGACGTATGTTTGCTCGTTCGTGTCCCCGATACGTCTCCTGGTCGTGCACGCATGCTAGTATTTCAGTCATCACGACCAGACCCAGATATGTGTTGCATTTGATACACGCATTCGGCGAGGAAAACGCGCTTTTAATCCAGTCACGATTGGCTACGGAAGCGAGTTTCGGGAGAGCGGCAATCGAGATGCATAGCGCAATCATTGCCGATCTTTTTAACGAACGCAAGCCTGCAGGATACGAGGCGCACCGGGGGCTTATCAAAGTGCACTGTATGATCCCAACGCTTGTCTCTTTATGGTCATTGGTAACAACGACACAGTGTGAAGATCTGTACTCACATTGATTCGCATATCGCCGTTGCATAAACTCGATAATCCAGTTCCAGTCTACGTAACGGAGTCTATCCTGAGTAAATGTCGAAAAAATCTGACTTTTTCGATACTCGTTCAGGATAGACTACTCGAACTTGAATGTGAATCAAAAAAATATTTTGATTGAAAAGAAGCATAGAGAGAAGCTGTAGCCCTCTCATTTTGTCACGTGCATCCACACCTGTCTTGGAAGAAGATTGACTTCGCATGCATGCATCAAAATTTGTTTTCATACAGGAATGAGTTGTCGGGCTATCATTTTGCACTGTGACATAAGTGATCCCCGCTACAGCTGCTGGACCTGAGATCATCCCCAAGCTGCCCACGTTGTTCTCCGACAACGTAACCGCAATGAAGAAACGATTCGTCCGCCACGGGTCTAAGAAGGGCGTCAAAGTCGAGATCACGGAGCAGTTAGAGCGGGTGGTGAAGGAAGGTGTGGCGAAGAGCATCGAATGTGCAATCAATACAGGCAATACGAACGACAACGGCAGTGACATTGCACATGAAGCTTAAAATCCTGTATACTACAAACTGGAAACTGTATATTTTGTTTTTAGTCGGTGTTGGAAAGGAACACAATATAACTCCAGCTATGGAAGAAGTGAAGCTTGAGCTGATCGTAATCTGCATTGATTTTGAACAATTGATTTGATCCTTCACCCTGTTGAGCGGCAAGTGGCAATTTTGCACTATTGTTACTGATGAAACACTGCTCTGAATATGTATTTGCACGAATGCGATGCCGAACTCGTGCCAATCAACAAGTTCATGTACCCTAGCGATGTAGGTAACTAACAATCCTCAGCTACGTGTTGCAGACTGCCACTGCACAAACTCTGTAAGATATTTGAATCAAGTTTCTTCAAGAAAACTGATTTTGACACTCAGGAGCATTTCGTCTTGCTTACCAGCAAGTGCCGAGGAAACAGGAAGCTTGAGTTTCGTACTTAAAAGGCAATTACAATAGTGACAACCTTGCGAATACGAACAAAATTTTGATAACTACCTCAGAAGAATAAGAAGCGCTCGAAAAATATATCAAAAAGAAATGCTGCTGGCAAGAGCATCATCAAACAAGGATACAAGTGTAGTATTTATCGAACTAATTAATACACACAGGACGAGGAGCAACGCTAGAAGGAATTCAACTATACCGAAGTCCGTCGTTCTCACCCGTTAGCTCTGATGGTACACAGCAACAGCTCAGTATTGAATCACAATCCTAAGTCTGTGACAGTGGGGATTCATGAGTAAAAAAAAATGTCAATATGTATAGAAAAATCCCTTTCTCTATCGCTACCTCGTACTCTTTCTCTCAAGCGTCGTGAAAATGAAATTTTACCTGGAAAAACGCAGAACAAGATTACTCAGTTGGATGGAGGAGATTTTGTGGCGCCCTTCTGTAGTACCTGTCTGTGAGCACTTTAATCCCAGCTTCTGCGAAAGCTATCTTTCGCGGTTATGGGTGCTATAAGTTCCCGGATGAACAACAGAGAGTCGCAGCTCAGTACTGGTGATTGCAATTTTTGTGATCTAGAGGTTTCTAGATCTAGAGAATTAGCAGTGCTTGTGCATGTGTGAGACTAAAAGAAGGCGGCTGCTTCCCGTTCTCTTGTAATTCTGGGGAATGAAAGGAGAAAGCCAGCTCAAGTGCGGTTGGTCCTCTAGAAACAAACTACTAGCATATGGATTTTATTGATTTTGAGCTTCGTATTTGAAAAATGAACTGTTATCTTCGCTACTTACGAAATTTGAAAATGTTTTGTACTATTTGTAAGTGGAGTACTCCCCAAGATTATAGCGATAATTTGAAATTTGAATAAAACTTATCTGCCCCTGAGCAGGAAACTTGGAGAAGAGGCGGAACTAATGGCTTGTGAATGTGATAGCCTATCAGCCGTCGAAGCAGAAATACAATTGCTTGTGACCACTCGTTTTCAGTCTTGAGCACAAATTACTACAGACAAAAGGGACACCGGGACTTCTACTTGTACTTGTAGTGAAGTGTTGCAACTGATGCGGCTGTTGTGTGCCTACTTGTAGAAGAGGGGAACACAGCAAACTGTTTCTGATTCGGCATTTTGGACATTTTGATTTCGACGAATGAAATGTTTTTATATCCTTGTGAGGTAGGACGAATACGAAACAAGGTATGGCGAGACGAAGCCGCTTCGGTTTTTCGGGTGTCCCGTCCAGAAAGCTTTTTCATGTGGATGAAAGCTGGACACGGATATGACGAGCAACAGGATTGGCTCAGTTATTTTTCGGACTGGCAGACTCAGGAGCATCTCGGATCTTATCACATGATCCTTGGTTTGGCTTTAGATCATTCTACGGGGATCGATGCATACAATGGTCGAGGTTGGAGTGTTGACTTGCGGAGAGAAAGTGCAAGTTGAGACTGAAGAATCGACTTCATTTGAGAGCACAACGAGGTAGCAGTATGGTTGGGAAAGTTGTAGATGTGCTGAATCCTCCGCATTTCGGCAGATCACTGCATTTTTTTTCGGTAAATTGCGTTTTTCTTTCGTTTTCACATGTGGAAACGCGAATATTCCGGGCGAAAATTGAAATTTCCACAGAGTGAGACTGAGATTGTGTCTGTCATGTTCATTTATCAGAGTCTCTCCGGCAGTGGGTGCAGACATTTGTGTTTTGACATGTTTTTTTCGGCACCGCGACTTTCGCTTTCCTCGACAGGACACTATCTTGACTACGACTACCTCTATCAGCGTTTTGCACTTTTCAACAGGGACATTGTGGACAGCACAGATTTGATTTGATTTGGTTATGCGTTTCGAGCTGATGTGAGGCTTCGGCTTCGGGGAATCTCAGACTTCAAGACCAGGGAGCGGGCTACTGTGCTCGGGCTGTCTCATCGCGACCCACCGGAGGTTCCATCTTAGCTGCACTCCAGACCGCGCTTTCCACGTTGCAAGAATGGCCTACAGGCTAGGCTTTCGGCGGAATCTACACTAAGCGGAGCCCTCCGCACTTCCAGGTGCGCTGGGACGCTACGACCTGACTGTCTGCCTCTGGCCTCTTGGGAGGTTCGACCCGGCGCCGCCGTACGCAGACACTAGGGGATCATGCTCTGCAATCTGAAACCCTGAGCCGTGTTGCCATGCTCTCTCCGTGGAAGCTGCTTCAGCTGAGGCCCAAGAGGGTTCTACCCACAGGAGCGGCCCTCTGGCCGCAGTTTGGGACCAGTCTCTGTTGCAATTCTAAAACCGACACTGTAAGTGCTGCTTTTATTGGATTCCTTGTCCTCGGGTCGGTTGTAGAAGTCGGAGCGCGATAGATTCGGCCCGGAGCCAGCAGCCCCCGCTTCGTTGGGCTTTCGTCTCTAATCGCAGTCCCGGAGCGGCCCGGGGCACAGGCTTTGCACTCTGGCGCAGCATGGTATGATGCTTTTGGGGTCCGCTCGGATTCTCTGTTTCTGGTCGGAGCCACAGAGCGGCTCGGGGCACAGGATTTGCACTTTGAGACAGCATGGCATAATGATGTTTTTCAGCCCCCCTTGGCATCGGCTTCTCCGTTTCTACTCGGAGTTCCGGAGCGGCCCTTGGAGCGGGCTTTGCAAAATTTGATAACAGCATGGCTCTTTTGGGCCCTCCGCGGACTCTGCGTTTCTACTCAGAGTCCCGGTGCGGCCTCGGGCGCAGGCTTAGCAATTTGAAACAGCACGGCATGATGCTTTTGGGCCCTCCGCGGCGTCTCCGTTTCTGGTCGGAGTCCCGGAGCGGCCTCGGGCGCAGGCTTAGCAATTTGAAACAGCACTGTATGATGCTTTTGGGCCCTTCGGGGACTCTGCGTTTCTACTTAGGGTCCCGGTGCGGCCCT